GATCTCATTATAGATGGTTGTGAGCCACCATGTGGCTGCTGGGAATTGAACTCAGGACCTTTGGAAGAACAGTCAGTGCTCTTATCCTCTGAGCCATCTCTCCAGCCCTAATATTTTATTTTTAACAGAGCAAAATTGAGATTTATTAAAGATTCCTCTAAATAAATTTTTATTTTATTATTTTAACGTGTATGTACGTACGGGGCACGTGCCTCAGCACAAATGTGGAAGTTAGAGCACAACTCTGTGGAGCTGGTTTTCTTTTCCCACCTTTCTGTGAATTCTAGGGATGGAACTCAGGTCCTCAGGCTTGCGTGTAGGGCAGCAAGCACCTTTACACAATACGCCATTTCACCAGCTTGAGCATTAGGGTGAAGAGAAAGTAAAACAGACCTAAAAGCCTGAGTGTGGGCTTCTGGAAGAAGAGTCATGGAAAGACGGACCCCAAGTGTCGGTACAAACTCAAGAGAGAATCGTCAGGACTAATATTTTAGAGGCGCGAGTCTTTTCGTTGTTGTTTTGTTTGTGGGTTATGGTGTGTTTTGTATTGCTTACTGCGGGGTAGCCCTGGCTGTACTGCAACTTCTGGGTGCTGGAGTTAAAGACAGTGCCAGCAAGTCCAGTGAGACCCCGTCTGAGAAAGAGAGAAGGGGAGGGGGAGAGGAAGGAAGGAAAGGAGGAAGGAAAAAGCAAGCGAGCACGCATCACTGTGGGGTGTGTGTGTGTGTGTATGTGAGAGGCTAGGAGTTAGATTCCCCGGTAGGCAGACAGAAAAGGAGAAGAGCCATGACTAGGGAATAAAAGTGCCGAACTTCCAAGACGGCCAATTCCTTTCTCATCCTCCTGACTCGAGACAAAAGCCTGACTGCTCGCAACAAAGGTCTTGCAGACTTTTTTTCCTACCCCCTTCAGGTGAATGGCCTCAACAAGTTCGAGGCCTGATCAGGACCTGTAACACAATAGTTGTGGACCAATCAGCCTTCTTAGCTTTCTTCAAACTGACCAATCACAACGAGGGAAGGAAATACAAAAAAACAAAACCTCAGCCCTCAAAAGGAGACCGGATTTTCCAGCTTCCGGAGTCCTCCTGGCAGTTTATCCCTGTGCGTCCAGCTGCTTTAAGTAAGCCCTCCGCCCCAGGAAACGCCTTTCTTCAAATGCTGATTCCGCTGTTGTCTGTAGCGTTTGAGATTTCCCCACGGCCACCTGTTGCCCTTGAGCGGTTTCCTGCCTCTTTCTTATCTAACTGTCAGCAAAAACTAACCCAGTCAAGACCCCTAGACTGCATCACGTGTGCACGGAGGTCAACTTCGGTTATAGTGACTCGGAAGCCATCCACTTTGTTTTTTTTTAAGACTGAATTGCCTGCTGGGACCTGGGGCTTGACTTTTTTGGATTAGTCTACCTGGCCAGCAAACCCCAGAGATTTCCTCTGCCTCCCCAATGCGGGGATGCACACCACTGCACCTCACATTTGACAAGGGCTTAAACTCGGGTTCCCAAGCTTGGATAACAAGCGCTTTACTGACTGATCTTCCTGGCCCCCCAATTTTTTTTTCAACTGTAGAAATATTTAATACTGATTTGCTTTAGGTAGATTTTTCAAAAGAAAATTGCATTGATTTCAGATCTGGAAATAAATTATTATTATCATTATTGTTATTTTATGGATTTCTTTTTGCCTTGTATTGTTCTGCCCAGTTCACGAACCCCAAAAGACCAGAAATAAACAGACTTCGCTGTAAATACATGAGGTTCTTTTTATTGTAAATAAAGAACATGCACAAGCTGCAGCTTGGGTGATATAAAGATTCTGGTTCATCCCAGCATGCCCAAGGCAGGGGCGATTCCTGCCTGGCAAGCATTTATTGGTCAAAATGCTGCTTTTTGAATTGATTGGCGAGAGGAAGGTCCCCAGACCATAATGACCTGGTGTCCCTCCCTAAGGGGATGGGCCAGTTTCCTAGCAACTGTATCTCTAGTGGGTGGGGAAAGAATGCAGTAAGGTGGTCCTTCCCCTCAGGGCATTACTGGACTTCTCCACCCACCTAGTTCAGGCCTTAATTAATAATACCTGCTAATTTTTAATCTTTTGGTCTCTCAGTATGTATGTCTGTGCACCATCCGCATGCCTGGTACCCTTGGAGGCCAGAAGAGAATGCCAGATCCCCTGAAACTGGAGTTATCGTTGGCTGCTGTTCTCCAACTTCACAGCTTGTACCCAAGTCAGCATCAGCCACCGGTCCTCAATAAACCAATTAAGAGAGCAACTTAGGGTTGGAGAGATGGCTCAGAGGTTAAGAGCCCTGGCTGTTCTTCCAAAGGTCCTGAGTTTAGTTCCCAGCCACCACATGATGACGGCTCGTAACCATCCATCTGGTGCTCTCTTCTGACCTCCTGGCTCACATGCAGGCATTTTACTGTATAAATAATAAATAAATAAATCTTAAGAAAGAGAGATCAACGTGTGGAAAAAGGTGACTTTTTTTTTTTTTTTTTTTTTTTTTTTTTTTCAGTGTGGCACATAGCAAAGATATCCAGCAAACTCCACAAGTCTGTCTTCAGGGTCCTGAAGTGAGACACAGATAGGCACACCAAGCAATCCATCAGGGCGAGACACTCCCCATCACTGACCTGTGAATGAAAACTCCAAAAAAGAAGCTGTGTCCGCAGGGGCTGATCAGCTGATTAGAGTTTCAGTCCTGCCGAGAGATTGGAATCTTGCAGGTTCAGAGGCTAACTCCCTTATCTTGGGCTAGTTCTAGCCCTCGAGGACAGCCACTCCTAGCAGGCCTCTGCATCAGAGCTAACATCCTGTGACTAATAGATAAAAACCTTTTAGAATCTATTAACTCAGCAAACCATTAGCTACCACCAACCCAAGCGTTCAGATAGCATCGTGGGTCAGTAGAAAAGCCTCCCCCATCTCTCTGTGCCTGCCTCTCTGATGTAACTTGTCTTGATTCCTTCTGTAAAACTACAGAAACTTCATTAAACTGCTTCCACATTGGAACACGGACTTGCGGGTAATCTAACTCTGTGTTCCTTGGCCATGGTCACTCACTATGGCTCCAGAATAAACCATCTTTTTTTTTTCCTTGAAGATGAGAGCTGTGGGTTTTGCTACAGTCTCATCCTGTAAGGTGGTCTGACAAGTTGTTGGGAAACAAGCTCCCCCTCAGGCTTGTGCCTGTTCTGCCTCTCAACATGAGATTCTTGGGAGAAAATTCCCATTTCTCTGGGGTCCATTGTTTCAACAGTTTGATAGAACAAGAGACACACGCTTCTGTTTAGAATATTTTCATATCTGCCTGGCCTGTTACACCGTGAGCTGCCGTGTGGGTGCTGGGAAGCCAGGTCGCCTGGACGAGTAGCCAGTGCTCTTAACCACTGAGACAACTCTCTAGGCCCTGGGTGTGAGATTTATTTTTTGTTTTGATTTGGGGTATGTGTGTGTGTCCTTTTATGTCTGGATATTATACACCATCTAGACAGCATGTTAAATTTGTAACACGGGGTTTGTAGTCACTAGAAGCCATAAACTAGGCACCTGATTCTGGGTCACAGCATGTCCTCCCCAGGACTTCCTCATTCAACCTTCCACCCTATCCTCCCTTTACCCGAGACGGAAAGCTGATCCTGGCATGCCCTGTGACTTGCTTCAGGCCAAGTTTCCTTTGTGTGCTGAGGAAATATTACAGGTTTTCAAGGCAAACCTGATGCCCACCCAGTTCCCAAGGTGGGTCTCAGGGGAACCTGTCAGTGGTGCCGGTAGCTTTCACTCCACAACCCCCCAGCCTCCTCCTCCTCCTCCTCAATCCTTTAGGGACTTCAAGGATTTAGCATAGAGAACCCAGTCTTCTTCCTCCCAGGGTGCAAGTCAGAGATCCTCCTTTTGATAATAATAACATACTACTCCCATCTGTCCAACCTCCATCCCAGCTGTAACCTCCCTAACTACCTTCACAGCGACTCGCTGCTCTTCCCTACGCACAAGATTCCTGTCTCTGGAGCCTCAGATGTTTGTCCTGCCTCCGAGGCTGTGCTCCAGCTCCAACCACCGCGCCAAAGCTTACAAGTTCCTCACAGCCAGCCCAGCCGGTGGTTGGAACAGGTTTCCAGCCACGTATTCTCTCGGCTTGGAACCCTCCTTTGTCCTTTTCAGGCGGCTCAAGCTTCAGGAAGTGGTACAGTTCTCTCGTCTCCTTTCATGTCCGCTCAACACCGCCGCACATATCTGTAAACTCCTTCTTGCTAAGGACCGAGATACCTTCCTAAGTCCACATTTAGCTTCTCGTGGGTCCAGCACTCGGGAGCCTGGGCTAGCAAGGCACACTGATGTCATCAGCGAGGTACTCTAAAAGTCGCAGGAATAGATCCTCTTCTCCCCTAAAATGCAGTAAGATCAAGCCTGTTGGCGGTCCCCACCTAGCCTGACCAGATACCATTCTAGAAATATTGCCTGTAAAAACAAACTTTGGGCTGGAGATCACTGAATTAGAATATTTGCTCAATTTACTTGTTACAGTGGAAGAAATCCAGATACAGGGAAGTGAAGGGCGCACCCTAGATCACACAGCAAGTAGGGGACAAGCAGACCTGGTTCCGCTGCCACACACAAGCAGCAACCTCGTGCACCTGCAGTCAAAAAGACTCTCTACCTATTCTTTCTACTCTCTCCACAACACAACCATCTCTCCTCCTCCACATATCAATGTTATTTCGGGCCTACGTGTCGGCCCCAGGCGGAGAGAAACTTCCCGGGATACGGTCGGTCCGCAGCGGGAGAAGACGCCCAGGCGCAGGTAGCAGCGTGTAGCCCCGCCCTCAAGAGCTCCAGGTCCCGCCCCTAAGCGCGCCAGATCCACGCTCGCCGGGCTAGGAAGAAACCCCCCAAGACCCGCCCTCCGTAGAAGACCGCCCCCGCTGACAGAGACAGGCAGAAGCCTAATCCAATGAAAAGGAAGAGCCGGATCCTTTCGTCCTATGGGCTGCGACAACACGGAACAGGGGCTCTTTCCGGGTCCTTGCACGCGTCTCTTTAATCCAGCCGGACCGTGCTGGGACTGAGAGGACGGTCTGCGCAGGTAAGCCTGTTCCGACGCCGGCGCGCCCCTGGGCGCCGACGGAGGGTGCCGCTGTGCCCACGCTGAGGTCGGGGAAGGCCGGGCTAAGGGCAGGAGGAGTGAGCATGCCGTACACGGCCGGAGTGGGCGTGGGCCCGAGCCAGGCGGGTCCTCCGGGGGCCCCACGGTCACCTTGCAGCTGCCTCGGTGAAGTTCGGGCCGTGATGGGACGCTAGCCCAGGAGTACTTTTTGGCATAGATTTTGGGAGAGGGTCTTTTTTGTTTTTTGTTTTTTTTTTTTTTTAGTTTGTTTGTTTTTCGAGACAGTTTCTCTGCGTAGCCATGGTGGAAGAGATTCTTGTTTGTTTTTGTTTTAAAAGGGGTGTTTGGCTTGCCTATACGTGTGTACTGTGACCATGCCTGGTGGCCATAGAGGCCAGAAGAGGTCGGTCAGATGCTCTGGAAGAGTTACAGATGGTTGCGAGCCGCCTGGTTGGGGTCGCGAAGTAGAACCTGAGCGCCCTTAAACACACTGAGCCATCTACACTCACACACCCTTTTTTATAAGAGCTTTCGTTCTTAATTATATGTGTGAGTGTGTTTATTTACTTGTCTGTGGAAGGTCGAGAAGACCAAGCGCGTCAGACTCCTGAACGTGTAATTTGAGACGGGAGGTTGTGAGCTCCGGGGTAGGTGCTGAGTTTTGAACTCGGGTTCTCTGAAGAGCGGCACGTGCCCTTACCTGCTGAGCCATCTCTCTAAACCTAGTGGTGTCTTTCTCAAACACAGAGAGGTTAGGTGGTGGCTTGCCTGAGGTTTTGTGCAGGCTGGTATTTGGAAGAGTTAGTAAGCCGTGGTGTGGACCAGCCTCCATTCCCCACCACACCAAGTTGTGTGTTAGTGAGAATGGAACTCTTTCCACACTACTTGTTCAGAATCCGGGTGCATTTGTGGTCTCCCTAGGGACTTTGGCGAGCACGACACTCCTTCCACCTTGGATGTCCCACACACGAAGTCTTGTGTGTGGAACAGGGTGGTAAGAAGGAGAGAAAAACAATAACAACTAATGAGTCAGCTACCTGGAGAAGACAAAAACCCCACTGCCTGGCAATCCGGTTGTAAATAACAGTGGAAGTCCATTGAGGTCGTGTGCTGTGTGTGATTGAGCCTAGAAGTGGCAGGACGCTCTTGCATCTCCGTTGTGGCGTTGTCGGTCAGATGCTGTTAGCTCCGGAAGCCTCACTTCCCATGTTGTGAAGTGGGGTTTCACTTTATTTTTGTTGCGTGTGATGTGTTTGTGCAAATGTGTGTGTGGAGGGGCCAACTCTGTGGAGTTGCTTCTTCTGTGGATTTCAAGGATGGAATTTTAGGTGTGTGAGAGAGAGAGAACACGCTACTGTGTGTGGGTGCCCTCAGAGGCGGGAAGACTGAGGTGCAGGAGGTTGTGAGCCACCTGATAGTGGTTGCTAGGAACTAAACTCAGCAGCAAGTGCTCCTAACTGCTGAGCCATCTCTCCAGCCTCTTCTATTATTATTTTTTTTTTACACTGGACAGAATTCTTAATGAGCAATCTGCGTTTTCGCCGTTTCCCTCCTTTGTTTAATATTGAGGGTGGGAAACTTATTGAAAGGGCCATTCTGTCCTGGGTTTTTCCAACCGGCAGCATTAGCATTTTGCATCTTATTATGTCTTAGGAATCAGTCTTACTGAATTTTCCTGTGATTGCATTATTTCTCACTTTATTTATTTGATTTTTGTGTGGAAGTTAGAGGACAACCTGAGGGGTCATTTGTCACCTACTTTGTTTGAGACAGAGTCTCTTGTTCCATCTTAGTTCGTTAGGCTAGCTGGCCTCGGAGCTTATGAGTGAAGAGTCTCCTGCCTCCACCTCCCATGGAGTGAAACTGTGCTCTGGGAATTCCAGCTGGTATAAATGTCAAATGCTTGGCCCAAGAGCTGTCTCCCAGCCCTCACTGAGTAACACAGCATGCTGTTTTCTCGTACATCTGCAAGGCTGTGCAGCCATTGTTTCTGTGTAATTCCCTAGTGTTTTTATAATGACCCTCAAACCCCAGGTCCTCCAGCCAGGTTCTGGGGATAAAGTTGTAGAACAGTCCCAGGACCCCCAACTAAGATGTCCCCCCCCATGCTTGGAGTCTGTCCTTCGGTAACAGCGAGCCCAGAAGCCCTGAGCCACCCACCTGTATGTGCCATTGCTCGTGTTTCCAGTCCAGGGCCCTGGGATCTGCTGTTTCGTACACAGAGCCCCAATAAGCCCAAACCTTTTACCGGGCCCTGCGACTTGAAGAATATTGAGGCCGGGCCTGGAAAGGTCATGGAGGAACAAGCAGACCTTTACCAAGCCCCAGAAGTAAAGTGGGACCTGGGAAATTGCAAACAGACTGAGTTTGCCGGGTGGTCCCTAAGGCATGGGTGAGAGATGGGGAGCCAAACGGGCCGAACCTTTGAAAGCATTGTAAAAATGAAATGAGGTGACCTCCCCATCATGACACAGGCAGCAGAAAGCGGAGAAGCCCAAGCAGGTCCCCAGAGTGTAAAAAACATTGGTTGCTCTCCTGATAGTGGGCCTGTACCCCAGTTAGTATGGAATTCCAGGGGAACGTTTAGGGCCAGGCTGGCCTTGACCTCACTAACTCGTGATCCTTCAGCCTCCTACTCCCAAGTATTCTGATTACTAGCCTGGCCTGCCTGGCGTTGAGTATGTGTCTAGAACAGGGCAGGCCCCCACCTGGCAACCAAGGATCAACAGATGGCGAAGATCAGTTATACACGGGGGGAAAATACTAATTTTAAGCACATTTCTCCCCATTTTCATTTTTTTTATATCAAAATTACTTAGAATCTAGATCCTTCAATTGCACAGCTTCATAGTAGCTTATCTCGAAATGAAATGCTGCTGAAAGTAGCATTAATTAAAGGAAGCTCTGATGACTGGAAATACTATACTCCCCAGTGTTTTAATGCCCTTCATAGTGATGTGTGATCTTTTTCATTATTTAGGATTATGGACTTCAAGCTAGGTGTAGTGGTACATACCCATAAGCACAGCATGTTGGGGCAGGAAGAGTCATGTGTTTGATCTCCTTTAGTTTTGGTTCCTCTCCAGAGGCTGCATGCTTCCTGAGATCAGTTGTCAAAATCCTTTGTCTCCAGTTACTCACTTCCTGTTCCTGGTTCCTGTGCAGTCTACCTGTCATGGAGTTCCCTCCTAGCTTTTTCCACCTGAGGGCCTTCTCTCTAGTTGGTGAGAGAGTCTGTCCTGCCGCAGTGCCCTTAACCCTCTCTTTGCTCCCTTTCTGTCCCTCTCTGACAGGGGTAATGAGGTGTCTGCCCTAGCACCCGGAGGCTGAACCTGCCTCCAGCCTCTTCCTGCAGTCCCTTGTACCAAGGCTTCTCACATGTCCCCTCCGCCCGCTCCTCTACCCTGTCCACACAGGGGAGTCAGTCCTCGCTCTCCTGCTAGGATATGAGTGGTGTCATGAGGCGAGGGCCACAGCCCTGCCCGCTTCGCAGTGCCACGCCCAGTGCCTGATGCACATCAGGTGTTCTGTAAATATAGAATACTAAGGGAACACATCCAGTAGGTATTTTTGGTGTGGTCCTGGCAGTCCTGCACTTATTTGTAGACCAGGCTGGCCTCGAACTCACAGAGATCTGCTGCCTCTGCCTCCTGGGATCAAAGGTGTGTGCCGCCACCACCCAGCCCTCACAAACCGTTTTAAACCAGTGTTATGCTATTACAGTTTACATCCAATAGAATGCACTTTCACCTAGAACTTGTAATCCTCCCGCCCTACCCTCCCATGTGCTGGGCATCACCAGAGTGCCACCAGGCCATCCTTCCTTTTATTTATTTTCTGTGCGTGGGTGTTTTGTCTGCACACTGTGTAGTCAGTGCAGAAGAGGGCCTTGGCATGCATGTGGTAGTCAGAGGGCAACCTGGAGGAGCTGGAATTCAAGCTCCTCATGTTTGGTGAAGAGCATCCTTACCACCCACTCTGTGGTTTGTTTGTTTGTTTGTTTGTTTGTTTTGGAGGGGGTATTTGCATGTGAGTGCTGGTGCCTTCCAGAGCCAGAAGAAAGCCTTGGCTCCCCTGGAGTTGGAGTTAACAGGCCGTTATGAACCACCTAATGTGGTGGCTGGGACCCAAACTCAAGTCCTCTGTAAGAGCAGTGCACGCTCTCTTAACTGCGGAGTCGTCTCTCAGCTCCTTGTAGGGTTCTTTTGAGAGTCTAGGCAGCCTAGGCTGGCCTTAACTTAGTGACCTCACTGCCTGAACCTTCCAAGTGTAGGGTTTTGTTTGATTGCTTGTTTGTTTTTCTGGGGCTTAAGTGTGTTTATTTGTGTATAAATCATTGCAAAACCAGATCTAGGCCCATTACCTTAGTGTGCAAGGACCCACAGCTGGCCAGTCTCTCCCCACCCCCCAGTCCACAGCCTTCTTCTGGAAGCTCCCTTTCAGGCTTTGGAGGAATGGGTGTTACACACACCCCACTCAGCCCCAACCTTAATAAAGTGCTTGAACAAGGGGCAGAACACAGGTAACCTAGTCTCTCTATTCTCAACCCGAACTTGGGGAAGACACTTCTACCCAAAGCCCTCAGCATCTCCAGACAAAAGGCTGCATGGGCCCCTGGTGAGGCTGGGATACCCCATTCTCAGCCCCACAGGCTCCTTGGGCAAAGTGCTCTCCTGCCGGAGGGGAGGAAGAGACGCCTGGCTTTTTGTAGAGCTAGGCTGATGGCAGCTGGATGAACAGCTGAGAAAACAGCTTCATGTTTGTCTCACTTCTGTCAGAGCTCCCCAACCAAGAAGACATTGGCACAAAAATACCCTAAAGTTCCCAGAAGGAGGCGGGAAGGGTGCCCCAGGCTCCCCCACCGCCCAGGGAGGAATGGTAGCTGGGAGAATTTACACTTACGTATAGTGGAGAGTGAAGGTCTCTGTCTGCACGTGGGAATGTGATGTCATCACTGTACGCCAGAAGGAGAAGAGGGCTTGTCCCAGGTCACTCAGGAAGAAGCTGAGAACTGGACACCCGCCTCCTACCTCCTAGGCCACCCTACCATTTCTAGAACTGCACAGATTCTCTGGCCTGGCCTCCTGGCAGCTCTTACCCATACAGTGTCTCTGATTCTGGCAACTGTCCCCAGATCCTTGAGACAGGACCCCATCGCCCCAGCCAAGGAAGGAGTGATTTGGAGCCCATTCCTGGGGCTCTAAAGCAAGTCCTTATGGGAAAGGACATGTCCTAAGCTTCAGACTGATTCAGATAGATCCCTATAGCCTGATAGACTGTGCTCAGACCCTGACACTAGAAACCCCCACCCACACACCTGATTAAACCATACGGAATTCCAAATTCCTGACTGGCCAAGAGATCACCCTGGCCCTCATTGGCTGGAAGAAAAACCCCAGCCCTGATTTGATTGACCAGGGAAAAGATGGCCTTGGTCAAATGGTTGGGCCCAGAGCCACTTCGCCTGTGTCTGTCTGAGATCCCGGGATAGGATGGCTAGGTCCAGGAGAAGTGGGAGAAGGTGATGCCATAGAGCTGCTGGGCACAGAGTAAGAAGGCCCTTTTCTCAGTGATGAAGTAATGGTGGTTGCCCGCACGGCTATGCGCGTTCTGGATATAGGTGGTCCCCTGGGCTCACAGTAGTAGTATGGGCCTGCACTGCAGGTAGAGCCGCTGGCTGCCTAGTTGGGAGGAGCCATGCCACCCGTGCACATGGTCGCACAACTCCACCACACTCACCGTGGTAAATCAGCCTGTGCTCACCCAGGATTGCGACTTTTCCCTGTCCTTGCTCTTCTCCCCCGGAAGAGGTCGTCAAACTGCTGCATGCGGGTGGGAGGCCTCCGTGTTAGGGAGCAGGGAGGCCTGCCTGCTGGACGACATACAGGAGGCTGGCCTGCGCTTCTGCATCTTACCTTGTTTGAGGGGTCCCCAGAAGATGAACACTGTTTCGGGGGCCCAGTTGACAAATTCCTGGGGTTTCCACAGCACACAGAGCACACTAGAATGGACCACTTCCCAGAAGGTGGTTTTGTTGCCATTATCAGCCAAGTAGCAAGTAGTGATGGGAGCATCATTCATATAGATGGTGCACTCTGCCCGCTCAATCTCAGCACCGGGTTTGGTGCCCAGCAGGTAGCTGGCACTGGTGATGGTCACACACTAGTTGCACTGGGATGGCAGCATCTCATTGCCAAGGATAGGGAAGTAGGTGTTGGAGAAACTCCACTTGAGGTTAATAAGCCAACGTTTGGGGCCCCGCGGGGCGCTTTTGGAGCTGTAGAGGATTGGGATGGTGATGAGGGCAAAGAGGACCATGAATGTGCTGATTGCCACTCCTCTGCCAGGGAGCATGCGGCCTCCCGTATCCCTTCACATGGCACCAGGAGCTGATCTGCCAGGCTGCCCAGGCCCTGCCGCAGCTCCAACCCAAGGGATCCTAGTGCTGACTTTCACGGGCCCTCGCAGACCCGGCCCTCAAGTGTGGGTTTTGACCATTCAAAGCCAAGTACAAGAATGGGGCCTAAAGAAGACCCTTCCCCCCCACAGCTTTGACCAGTGAGGATCATTAGTTGCTACCTCAGCAAGAGCATTTTAGCAGAATGTTGGGGTTTAGAGAGGTGAAGACATTGAATTTGCATGTAGCTCACTCCTCGGTATGCCTCTACACCTTTGGATTGGAGGGGGAGCACCCACAAGTGAAAACACTGGTGTGCTCTCAGGGAGCCATTAAACAGAAACTGCGTGCGATGTCCCCACGGAAGGATGAAGCGGGGAAGGTTGTCTTGGAAAGGTGCGGAGACAGATGTTTACTTCTCCAAGACAAGAGTCAGAATTCACATGAGTGTTCGTGGAGAAGAGGCGGAAGGAGTTATGATTCCTGCATGGTCACGTCTCTTCTCTAGGACAGAGAATGACAATGTCCGTCAGTGGTGGAAAAGTGCTAGAAGCAGACGTTTTAGGGACGGGGTGGGCGGCAGCCTCACCGGGGACCCCCCGGGAGCCCGGTGGAGCTGCCAGGCGAGTGGGAGGGCACACAGCTGGGGCGTCTCACGTTCTGTGTTTCTCTTGTAGGGACGGCAATGGATAGGAGCACCAGGCAGGGTAGGAGAAGACGCGGGCGAGGCCACCAGCAGAGCCCTGCCCTCAGGCAGTGTGATTCTAGTGAGAGGCAAGTGTGCAGGTCTGGGGAGCCAGCTTTGCCTGGGGCCACTCTGGTGCTGCCCGGTGCTGCTGTGCCACAGGTGCGCCACCTCTCAGGATGAGTGGGCGATGGGGCCAGTAGGCTGGGGAAGCTTGACATGTTGCCATCAGCCCCCTGCCCTGGGGAGTGAGGGCAAAGGCACACGCGGCGTCCCAGTGACTGGCTTCTAACCACAATGTCAGCCATTAGGCGACCGTAGAGCTGTCTGCCACCAGTGGAGACTCGGGGCAGGCAAGAAAAGGTCTTTCTGGGAATTTTCTCTAGTGAGTTCTGGAAAAGGACTTACATAAATATGTCAGTTAACATATGTTGTTTATGCAGATACATGTAGTATGTAGGATAGCATATTTTCATAATATGTACACATCTTTGAGTGAACTGTGCGGGTCTTTTTTTTGTTGTTGGTTTTTTTTGGGGGGGGGGTTGGTATTGGAGGTTGCTCTCTATGTAACTCTTGACTGTCCTGGAACTCGCTATGTAGACCAGACTGGCCTCAAACTCATAGTGTGACACAGCTGCCCAACATACCAAGCCTTAATATACACAGAAGTGTACAAAGCAGAAAGCAGCGAATGCTGTGTGCCCAGTGTAAGCATTTACCACTTTATGTATGAAGGAAGCACAAACAGCCTTGTCTCAGCCCCAGCCCACACCCCGTCTCCACCAGGCCTCAGCTGAGGACTCCCAGGACTTCTGACAGTAGGAAGTCTTCATGTCACCCTCAGGTTTACTACACACGTGCCAATTTCTTACGTGTTGGTCCTCCTCATATGTATTTGGTGTGTGTGTGTGTACATGTGTTTATACCATGGTATACATGTAAAAGGGAGGGGACAAGTTTGCAGGGATCAACTCTTTCCTTTGCCATGTGAGTCCCAAGGACCAAACTTGGGTCATCAGGCTTGGCCACTTTTACCCACTTAGCTGACTTGCCAACCCAGCCCTTTTTTAAAGTAGATAAATTTAGGGGTGGTGAGATGACTCAGTGGATCCAGAGTCATGCTGCCATGATGTGAAGGAAAGAAGTGACTCCTTCAGACTGACCCCCACATGTATGTTTGTCCACACCCATACACAATTTAAAAAAAATTTTTTTTAAATTTCTAAATAAAAGATCATGATGTCATGTCCAGGTACTTCTCCAGAATAAATTAATACAAACAGCAACAAAACCCTTCAAAGACAATGGGAGAAAGGACAGAGCTGTAGCCCTGGTCCCCTCTGAAAGTGCTCTCTCTTATAAGCCACCCTGGCTTGACTGTATAACATCCTTTGATAGGCCACCCTGCCCTCGGAGCCCTCAGCACAGTGGGTCTCGTGGGTGTAAGTCTCCTTTTTGACCCGTACTGTCGAAAGGTCAGCACGGCACCCAATGTTGGTGTGCTTTCTTAAGCCCTGTTTTGGCAGAGTGGCCTGGAAACCTGCTGGGCACAGCCACCTTCCGGACTCTGTGTGGCAAGGATGGAGCAGCAGTCCTTGGATGAGAAAGACCAGTGTTTCTCACTGCAATTAATCCATCCTCCTGCTCACCAGAGATGGGCCGCCTCAGAAAGCTCTGGGCAGAAAGGGAGAGAAATCATTTTCCTACAGCTACGTATAGCATCAGTATGGATGACACGGGCTGTTCTTTCCCTCCCCAGACTAGCTTTGCAGACTCCCTTTTATTGTGTGAGCTGAGGATTCTCACCCTACGCTCCAGTCTGTGATTGCCACAGAGGCTGCTGGTGGCTTTACAAATGCAGTGTGTCAGCCGTGGCGCCACAACCTAATATCACCAAGGAAATGACCTCTGCTCACCGAATCTCAGCTTTTCCATCTGTAAGGTTGTCTAGCTAGATAAAATTTAAACTCTACTGCTGCTGAAGGCAATCAAGAATGGCGCTCACCTACTTGGCAGAGTAAACGCTGCTAATCGGACAGGGAGCCCAGCCTCTAACATTCTTATTGACAAAGACCTCTGGTGTCAACAGGTCCAGCACACGGTCATCACAGAGTACCCAACATTCTGGCCACCATGATGCTGAATCGTTGTCAACCTCGTCCAGCAGAGCTGGAGAGTCTTCCGTACCGGGTAAGCTGGGAGGGGCTCGTAGCTGGCCTGGAGGGAGGATAAAGCCCCATCCTGCCCTAGAGCAGGTGCTGAGTCTGCACTGAGCACCATCCCTTAGCCGGGGCTTACATGTGTTGCTTTGCTGGTTGGGGTGTGGAGAGCTCAGTCTTGACCTGAGGGAATTCTAGAGGCAAGCTGATTCACTGAAGGAAGGGACCAAGTGTTGGGAATAATGATTCTGGGGCAGCTGGTCGCTCAGCCGGCAGAAAGGACACATGGGCTCTTTATTATTGGGTGGCTCTGTGTTTTAATTTAGCTGGTTGAATTATTTTTCTTAAAGATCTTCCAGGCTTTTACTTCGACCCTGAAAAGAACCGCTACTTCCGTTTGCTCCCCGGTCATAACAACTGCAACCCCCTCACAAAGGAGAGCATCCGGCACAAGGAGATGGAGAGCCGAAGGCTGCAGCTGCTGCAGCAGGAAGACAAGCAGAAAAAGGTGGGCCTTCACCCTTGGCTGCCCAGTGGCCCCTACTCTGACAGCACCCATCTGCTGCTGTGGCCAGTCAGATGCCCTGTGACACTCAGTGAAATACGACAGACAGTGTGCTGTCAGATTTTCCCTGACAGGGAAATGATGAGGAAAAGAGCAGGCAAGAGGCCCCATTTCCCACTCTCTTTCTGCTTGCTGATGCCAGACCCAGGCATCTGGCCTTGTCCTGCCTACATCAGCCTGTGGCCTGTCACCGAGCCTAGCAGGTGGGGTACAGACTCCAGCAAACCCCCAGGAGTGCCTAAGAGGACGCCATCAAATTTTTTTTCATTGAATTTCTGTCCATTTAATACCTGTTTCTCTCATTGTGTGGAACTAAATACTTCTGTTACCCAAACCATAACACAAATACATCTCCAGTGGCTTTTTCTTTTTGTTTTTTGAGCAAGATTTCTTATAACTCATAAAAGTCTTGAGAGCATGCTGTGTGCAGGGATGGCTTTGAACTGGGGTGCAGGACTTCTCTCCCCAATGCTAGAATCCCAGATCTGTGCCAGCGTGATTGCCTTCACTGAGTCTTCCTGTGTTCTTTTGTTTTGTCTTGAATTCATAAACCAAGAAAATTACCAGAATGGGATTTAATGCATCTTCCATCCTACGAAAAAACCAGCTGGGTTTTCTCAACTTCACCAGTTATTGCCGGTAAGACAATACCTTATTTTGTCTTGAATATTCTTTCTTGTCCTTATTTCTGTAGTCTGCAGATGTAGTCAGGAGAGACCTTGTGCTACTCTCTGAGGGTCTGCCTTCAGTTTGCAGGCTGCCTTCCACATTTTTTAAAAAAAAGGTTTATTTATTTATTATGTATTCTGCCCGAATGTACACCTGCACACCGGAAGAGGACACCAGATCTCATAGATGGGTGTGAGCCACCGTGTGGTTACTGGGAATTGAACTTGGGACCTCTGGAAGAGTAGCCAGTGCTCTTAACCTCTGAGCCTTCTCTCCAGCCCCTCCACATCTTAAACAGCTTCAAGTAACTTGTTTCTCTCCTCCACAAGGAATGGAGACTCCTGGGACTCTAGTGGGAGAAAGGGGTTATGTAGACATTGCGTGGGACTCTGTGGTCCTCACAATAACTCCATTCCTGAGACCCCTTCCAGTGACACATACAGCATTAAGTGGACATGGACATTCTCAGCTTTGTCAGAAGGCCTGTGTCAGGGACCAGGGATGTAGCGCAGTATAGAGTAGTGCTTGCCTCACAAGCCTGATCCAAGCTCCAGCATTTCCAGAAGAAACTCTGCATAGGACTTTTGTGGCGTCTGTAATTCTCTAAGTTGTTCCCCCCTCCCATTTTCTAAAGAGGATATTGAGGTTCAGAGGGGAGTGACTTGCGCTACGGTGAAAAGAGAAGCTGGGTCAGTGTGACCGCAGCCCCTGACCCTAACCCTGCTTCCTCTACTTCCACTGGACCAGTGCCCGCCCCGGGAAAGGTTGGCTGTGCGGTACCCACTTCAGGGAAGAGCAGCTGTGGGGGTAGCACACAGCCTCCTGTGCCTCCCACCCAAGAAGAGCCTAAATAAGAGGACAAGCAGCTCTTGTGCTTAAACTGGAGAGGGAGCTGTGCTGTGGAGGAGGGAATGGGCAGGGAGGTGGGCGCTGTCCGTGCGGACTCCCGTAGTCCACCCCGTGCCCTTCATCTCTCAGGCACATTCTCTTCATCCCAGAGAAAGTCTGTCCTAGGTGACTGAAGCAAATCTCTCTTGAGTCTGTCTCTTTGACTTGGAGGAGAGCCACCCAGTGGTTCAGCATTGTGTCTGAGAACTGCTGTGGAGGTGGGTGTGGGAAAAGCAAACTCCTAGCTCTTTGCCTTGTTTGTTTGTTGTTTTGTTGAAACACGGTTTCTCTGTGTAGTTTTGGCCGGCCAGGACTCACTTTGTAGACCAAGATGGCCTCGAACTCACAGCAATCAGCCTGCCTCTGCCTCCCCGAGTGCTGGGATTCCAAGTATGTGCAGGTGTTTGCCTTTTTTTACGGTTGAAACGTGACCTCTTTGCCATGTTGCCCAGGCTGGCCTTGAACCTCTGAACTCAAGCCATCTTTCCACGGAGCTGGTTCTGCACACATGCCCCGCTGCATCAGCCTTGGGTGCCTGGCTGTGATGTCCATGCCCTCCCTGTTTCCGTTTCCCTCTGCAGTTTATCCCACGAGCTTCGGGTGAGCTGCATGGAGAGGAAGAAGGTAGAGATTCAGAGCTCAGATCCATCTGCTCTAGCAAGTGACCGCTTTAACTTCATCCTGGTGAGCATCTGTGGGTGTCCAGCGTGGCTGTCACGCCCGGCCTGATGCTAGTATTCACTAGGCCTAGCTAACAGAAGCCGATTGCTGTTGGCTTGGTGGGGTGGGATGGTGTGTGTATTTCCATCACTCACCCTTCATTCCTGTCCTGTGACATAAACCTGGGTGTAGCCACATGCTAAAAACAAAGTGTCTTGTCCCTGGCTGTGGGGCGGGCAGGTGAAAAGGTGCACACGGTGGGCAGTTATCCATGGGCCACCAGCTGCAGCACCAGAAGTTCCCTCGCTCCTGACCCTAGTGGCAGGGCCCTTCCTACTTCATCTGTAGGAAGTGGAAAAGTCTCTGTATTTACTGAAACCTGGGCTGGGACTCAAGACCAACTACGGGAGCCCCGGGTCGGTGAGACATTGTAAGGAGCCAAAGCATGCCCTGCACATGGCTAATCCACCCTCTCCATGGGCCTCCTGAGACTATGGCCTGCCGGGAAGGCCACATCTTTGCAGGAGTCAGGGAAAGCCTTGGAGACTGAAAGCCTTGACAGCAGAGCCTGTCCATGAGAGAAGTATTGGGGTCAGGCCCAGACTGCTGCTACAGCCCCTTCCCTGGCACTCGTGTGCCCTGGGCTGGCACAGTCTCCCCATCACAGCACTCCATGTGACTGGCTGGCTAGTACGGCCAGGAAACTGGGAAGGTGGCTTTCCACATTTGATTTTCAATTCTGGTAGGTTCATCCAGGCACATACCTCCTCAAATTTAGAGAGTAGGAGGAATTTCACTAGCACGAGAGTCTGTGTGCGCACAGACTTGTGTATAGGAACAGAACGTTACATAGGGAAAAAGATAAGAGTTTAGTTTAAAATAACAATGTTATGTTTTTGTTTGGAGCTCTCTAAGAGGGAGCTTATTGGGGTGTTTTGAAACAAGGGAACTGTCCCCCTCCCTGGCTAGCCTCCAACTCAGTCCTCCTGCCATAGTTAGCTTCCTGAGTGTTGGGATTACACACTGTGTTGTATTTTAAGTTAAACAGCAGAGTCTCACTACGGAGCTGGCCTAGAACTCACAGGGCTCTCCATGGTGTGGTCCTCTGGGCCACCATTGGGATCCTTCCAGGCTCAGTTCTGAGGTGGTCACTAAGAATGCCAGACTTCCTGGCCATGGCCTCTCTGCCATCTTCACCAGTGCCTCCGAAATGGCAGGGCAGACCCTGTGAGCTTGGCTGGAGATCACTCCACTGAGCAGGAGCTAAGTTAGGTCCCTGCCATGTTCCCTCATGGAGAGGAGCTGAGGCAGCTCGCTTAGCTCAGCCTGAGGGATCACATGCGGCCCGTTTCTTCCCTCCAGGCAGATACTAGCAGTGACCGCCTCTTCACAGTGAATGACGTCAAAATCGGAGGCTCCAAATATGGCATCATCAACCTGCAGGGTCTGAAGGCTCCCACGTTCAAGGTGCACATGCATGAAAACCTGTACTTCACCAACAGGAAGGTATGACCTGTCTCTCCGCCCTTCAGTCCTCTTGCCTTTGGGCCTAGGACACTGTTAGGTAGTTTGCTAAATTTAGAGAGGGAAAGGGAAAAGAGCTTTGTAAAGAACGCAGGAACCACTGTCTCACTTTTCCACGGGACAGATGGCTTGTTAGTTCCTGAGAGCCCTCAGGAGGAGGGCCCAGAGCTTTGTAACATTGGGAGAGAGGCTTAGCTTAGATGGGGTGGACTCAAGGCAGTGTGTGTTCACTGGCCATCAGGGCATTCTTTTCTGAAGGAACAGAATGGATCTGAAGGGGTGTGCTTCCCAGAATGTGGGCTGCAGTGATCACGGCCTGGATGGAGTCCTCCCCTGTGTGTCACAAAATGTCAGGCACTCTCTCCATCTAAGAACAGCCTTTACACTGCCTCTGCGACTTCCTCTTCAGGAGGGACATGAGCCGTAAGACTGAAAATGGCGTGGGGAGCCAAGTGTGGTAGCTATACTCCCACTCAGCACACAGGAGGCTGAGACTTGGGGTTTGCCGCTCGCTTAAGGTTAGCCTGAGCCATGAGGTGAGCCTCGCTGGTCTCAGGAGACAGGGAAAGGAAGAAAGGAAATAAAGAAACCCCTGGTGAGGCAAGATGCAGGACACCTTTGGTGAAGAGTTAGACTTGTCAGGCTGGAGAGAAGGCTCAGAGGTTAAGAATACTGTCTGCTCTTCCAAAGGTCCTGAGTTCAGTTCCCAGCAACCACATGGTGGCTCACAACCATCTATAATGGGATCTGATGTTCTCTTTTGGCATGCAGGCAGAATACTGTATAAATGAATGAATGGAATGAATGAGTGAATCTTTAAAAAAAAAGAGTTAGACTTGTCTCCTGACCCTGTAAAAATAGAGAACTCAGGTCTAGCTTGCGGGAAGAGGCCATTACTAGCTGCCTTGGCATGGGACCCATGCTGGTGTGCAGGGACTGCAGCCTGGAGTTTACTTCCTGTCCTCCTCAAGGGTCCACATGTCTGAGCAGGAAGCGCCAGTATCCTCAGAATGCTCCTTCCAGACCATTAAGAAAGAAATCACATGTCCGTTTCAGGGGTAATTTAGTGCTTGCCTGACTTGTTCAAAGCTTTGCACTCAGTCTCAGTACTGTGGGCGGCAGGGGCGGCATGTGTCTGGGCCCCTACAAGTCTTTTCTTCCTTTAATTTTAAGGGCCTCGTGTAGGTACGTGCCCACTCGTGCACATGCATCTGTGTGTGTCCAGAAGAGGGAGTTGGTTCTCCTGGCGCTAGGACCCAAAGTCAGGTCCTCTGTGAGAACAGCAAGTGCTGAGCCATCCCTCCAGCCCCGTAGCTGCCATTTTCTAGAAAAGCATTTTCCCATTGTTGTCCACGAGCAGCGGTCAAGCCAGTCTTTCTCTCCCCTTCCTCTCCAGGTGAACTCCGTGTGCTGGGCCTCACTCAGTCACTTGGATTCCCACATTCTGTATCCTTTCGCTGGCAGGCGAATGGGTTCAGTGGACAGCCGTTCTGGCGTGGACCTGAGCATCTGTGGACACAGCCAAGGGGTGGGCCGTTCTGCACCCGTCTCACCTTTTGGGAAAAGACTGCGCCTAAGTCCACAGCAGGGTGTCTCCACAGGCAGCTGAGGTCCAGAGGGGGCTGTTTCTGGATGACCATCAAGCTCCAGTGTGTCAGACATCTAGAACTTGATGTGTAATTGCTTGAGCTAGCACTGGGCCCTAGAAGTCTGCCTCCAGACCCCACCCACTGTGCCACTGACACACAGCTTCGGGCTCTTGAGACACCAGACAGACCCAGCATCCCTGCCGGGGGAGTCAGTGCACAGCCCTAAAAAAGTACCCGGCCATGAGGTGGAGGTGGAAACACTGAGAAGGCCGTGAGGGGGGGGCTCTTCATTTGACACTGAGACTAGATCTGAGGACCTGGGGCTGCAGAACTCACTGGGCTCTGCCTTCTCAGAACCAGCGGGGCTCTTCTCTAGGGACACCGCAGCCCACAGCGATGGTGCCTGGGCTTTCTGTTTAAAGTTTGTTTTACAACACATGTTCATGAACACACATGAACACTTGGTGTTAGTTCATTCCCGTAGCTGGTGAGTTCTTAAAGCCTGCGTGCTATCATGAACTTGAGGTTTAGCTCATCATGTGCTCAGGGAAATACACGTGTAGGCATGTTATACCATGGCCTCAACAGACTCGTCCTTGAAAACCTCAGTTCTCTGGTAGAAGACAGATTGCAAGGGACTAAGAGCTTTTAACTATGCCTGTGACATTATGTCCCTGAAGAAACTGCAACTGAATGTGCCAAGTCTAAAAAGTGTTATATCTGGACAGTGTTCTCTGCCCTACTTTGCGTTTTATGATTTCCTGAAGGATGCTAATGGCCATTCTTCTCCCAGAGGGTGGCCTTGTCTGTATCTGACTATCCTTAACAGGATTTTTTTCCAGGCTGTGCCTCATGGGCCTTGCGGAGACGCCGGGCTGCGCCACCCTCCTCCCAGCCTCACTGTTTGTCAGTAATCACCAAGGTAGGGAGTCCTTTCCTGGGTCTTGGAGAAATACAATACTTTGAGGGTGGGTCCTCTGGGTACCAGACGCTGGGCTGACCCCAGTCCAGCACATAGGGTGGCATAGGCGGCACTGAGGGAGCGTTCCCAGAGTCTGCCCCAGGATCTCTGCATTTTAGAGTTTGCAGCTTTTTAGAAACCCTTTAGGTGGGTTCAGCAGTCAGGGCAGAGTGCACATAACTAGCCGGTGCAAGACATCTAAACACTGGCTTGTGCTGCCTGTAGCAACCATGCAGAAGGCGCTGATCAAGCACCCCGGGGTGATCGGCATGCTGGCTGACTGCAAGCAATTCGCTCCTTCTGGCAGACTTCAGAGAAAGTCTGCTGTCTCTAGGCTTTCCGAGAGTTGGGGTCTGCCAGATGGGGTCAACTGCGACAGTGCAGACCCCGGCAGAGCGGCCTAAGGTACAGCTACTCCACTCCCACATTCAAGCATTGCTTGGCCCCCGGAAGATGGAGGCAGTGCCTACCTCAGTAGGTTCCTCGTGGAAGTAGATGAGGTGAACATTGCCCAACAACATGTGGGGCGTGTGTCGTACCACTTTACAGATAAGGAAACTGAGGTAAATAAAGAATTGGGGGCCAGGGCTGGAAAGATAGCTCAGAGGTTAAGAGCACTGTCTGCTCTTCCAGAGGTCCTGAGTTCAATTCCCAGAAACCACATGGTGGCTCACAACCATCTACAATGAGGTCTGGTGTCCTCTGCTGGTGTTTAGGCAGAACACTGTATACATAAATACATAAAAAAATTAAAGATTTACTTGTATATACATACTTGCATGTATGCCTGTATGACAGAAGAGAGCATTAGGTCCCATTAATGCTTGCAAGCTACCATTAGTGGACCTCTGGAAGAACAGTCAGTGCTCTTAACCTCTGACCATCTCTCCAGCCCTTAAATACATAAATCCTAAAAAAAAATAAGAATGGGTCAAAAATTAACCCACAAAACTAGGTTTTTTTTGTGTTAGAAATCTTGATATTAATTCTCCTTGGGAATGATACAAAGTGAGGATAGAAACTGGAAAGGGATGGGAGGGAGGCTTCCAGGATACTGGCACGCCGTATTTCTAACCCAAGTGGTGGGCACATGGCTGGCTTTACCCCTTGGCTGTGTTCTGTCAGTTCATCGTTTTCAGTGTTTGACTTGAACACACTTGGTGTTGGGGTCAGTATTGAAAGCACATTCCCATGACACCCCCAGCACCCCTGTAACAGCTGTGCACTGTGGATGCACAGTCTGGACTGTGAGCATGAGTTGTTTCTTGAGCAGACAGCTCAGCTAAGGCCTTCTCTAGTTACCACAAAATCCAGTACAGTTCTTGGTCCTAGAGTTCTGGGGGCTGGGAATTCCAGCAGCATGAGCCAACCTTTGGGGAGGGCCGCCCTTGACTGCTGAGATCAGGGATTGTCTTTCTCTTATAAGTCCACCATTGCCACTTTGGAGCCCCATCTGCACGACCTCATCAGATCCTAGTCACTTCCCAGAGTTCCTCAGCATAGGACTTGGGGTGGGTAATTGTTGCAGATATGAACTCTGGGAGACACCTAAACCACTGTGGCCTCTGAACAGCTTTTCCTGGATCTGGTGGTTTCTAGCCTGGCAACATGGAGGGAAGTTCCTGGGCCTAGAAGGCAGCCCTGTTTTACTTTGTTTCTCCTTTCAGGTACAGATCAGCCTGGCATGCTCTGCAGTTTCCGGATCCCTGGTGCCTGGTCCTGTGCCTGGTCCTTGAATGTCCAGGCAAATAACTGCTTCAGTACAGGTGAAACGTGGCTGCCTCCCTGGGTGCCAAGTACAGATTTCCACAGACCTGAAGGTCCCACCCAGCAGTTCCTTTCCCCCAGACTGCCAGCACCCCTGGTCTGAGGGACCCATTTCTTGTCTCCACCAGGTTTGTCTCGGAAGGTCCTGTTGACCAATGTGGTGACTGGACAGCGACAGTCGTATGGAACCAACAGTGACGTCTTGGCCCAGCAGTTTGCAGTCAAGGTCAGTCTGACTTGGAAGAGCGTAATAGAACAATGCCTAGAGTGGAATATTGGTGGGAGGGCTCTCCTGGTGTAGCATCTGGGCCACCACATGGGAAGGGTGTTACTGTTGGTTTTGCTGGTTGTTTAGTTTTGATTCGGATTTCTTGAGACAGTCTCATATGTAGCCACAGCTGGCCTGGAGCTCACTATGTAGGCCAGGCGGTCCTTGTATTCACAGAGGTCCCTCTGCCTCCGCCTCTGGGGAGTGCTGAGGTTAAAGGTGTGGTCCACCAGGCCCAGCTGCATCCATAGGCTGCTCTGAGAGTGGGTCTGAGCTGAGCAGACGTTGGCTGGTACAGAACTGCCTCCCAAGCTCTTCAGCCAGTTTTCCGTTTAAATGGGTCGTTAGCAGTTCTTGAATATTGGATCAGCCAGAAGGCGACATCATTTTTAAAATTCTAAGTTGGGGCTATGGATGTAGCTCACTGGTAGTATCTACCTAGCATTTCATCTTTAGAGAGATTAAAAAAAAAAAAAAAAAAGAATGTATAGCTCTAATACTAATTCAGAGCACTTAGCTGGTATCATATAAAACTTTCAAGGTATACATTTAAAATTAAATTGTCATCATTACTGTATTTCAAAGACTCACCTATAGAAAACGCTATCTTTCTGCCGGGCACAGTGGCTCCTGCACGCATGTAATGCTAGCCCTTGGGGAGATGGAGGCAGGTGCATCTCTGAGTTCGAGGCCAGCCCGGTTTAGAAAGTAGGTCCAGAACAGCCAAGGCAACACAGAGAAACCTTGTCTTTAAAAAAAAAAAAAAAAAAAAAAAAAAACTATCTTGGAGAGAGTTGGAGGAGGGAGTCAGCTGACCTGTGTTAGATAGGAGCAGAGCTGATGATTCAGACCTCCATCCACCTGTGATAAAACCGACACTTCACCCCAGCTGTCTGCCCTCACTACCAATTCATCACCCCAGATCGCACCAAAGCCTTCATGGATACAGGGAGACATCACTTGGGCCTTAGAAAAGATGCCTAAGTGGACAGTGGCCCTACCTCCAGGCACCTACGGGCTCACCACAGGCCACACTGGAGGAGACACAGGGTCTGCATCTTCTACCCTCTCACAAGAACTCAGCCTCCCTTCTGACTCCACCAAGACCCAAACTCCTACCAACCCTAATGGCAGGACACACCCTCCCAGCCTTAAGGACAGGTGGTAAAAACTGGGCGCCACCCCTTTCTCTACAGACTCCTTTGCTGTTTAATGGCTGTCGTTCTGGGGAGATCTTTGCCATTGACCTGCGTTCTCCAAGTCAAGCCAAGGGGTGGAAGGCCACCCACGTTTTCCATGACTCAGCAGTAACCTCTGTGCGGATTCTCAAGGAGGAGCAGTATGTGCTGGCATCAGACATGGCTGGGAAGGTAGGAGATACCGACCTCAGACCCCAGGATGGCAAGGTGCAGACGGTACCACACAGGGGAATCTTGTCAGAGACCCTGATACCGAAACACCAGGGTGTGGGCTATCCTGGAGCTCCTTTGTTGCTCCACATGAGCTTAACCCTACCTAGATTCAAGTGCAGAAGGGCCTGTGGTTCTGTGATTCTGATGCACTCAGGCCTTAGGAGTTAGAGACATCAGTCTTCAGACTATGAAAAGGCCACTGAGACCACCTCACCCTTCCAGCACCGTACTCGGTAGTCATCCTGTGCTTGCTAGGCGAGTAATCCTTTTTGTTTCTTCCTACAGATCAAGCTGTGGGACCTGAGGGCCACTAAGTGTGTGACACAGTATGAAGGTCACGTGAATGAGTACGCCTACCTGCCCCTGCATATGCATGAGGAAGAGGGGATCCTGGTGGCAGGTGTGTAGGGAAGGGGAGAGCCCATCCATCAAGGGCTTCCTATGGGGTCTCACATATCTTAAAGAGGCGGAGCAAGGGAGTGGTGAGCAATGGGAACTACAGAAAACTGAGATAGCAACCAGCGGGCCTCTCTGAGTCACAGGATTCCATCAGAATCTATCTTGCCTAAAAGCTATCCATTCTACTCACATCCCCTTAAGGGGATGCCAGAAATAAAGGGTACCTATAGTGCTTGGATCCTGGCCCTTTAACATACCCATAATCTACCAAGAAGGGGCAGCTATCCGGCTGTGAAGCCCTGAAAGGGCTGAACTGACTATAGATGGTACTATTTCCAGGCCACAACACAAAATCTGCCTTTCTACATACAGAACAGTCGACCTTTGGTGTGTTCTCAGGCTTTCCAAAGCATCACGTGTGCTAACGTTCCCTGGTAAAATTCCTGGGGGCTAAGCAGCATCACTGTGCTAGGACTTACTTAGGTCCACTTGCCATATTTATCCACACCAGCACTGGGCTTCATCCTAAAATGGTATCCCTCAAGTCTTCATGTCAGCAGTTGCCATGTGCTGACCAGTAGACTAAAGATTAGCCTTGCCTGAGAGGGTGTCTGCCTGGCTGCAGCAGTGAGCCACAACCCCAAGTCCATCATCTGCCAAGGCACCACCGTGGGCCGAGAGTCAGTGAGTGGCCCTTTCAGGTGTGACTGCCGCCCCCACAGATCTGTCCAGAAGCACGCAGCTTCCGGGCTGCCTTAGCCCACAGTGTCTGGTGCCACATTACTCCCAACTTGGAGCCCTGCAGACTTCAACAAGTTCTTCAGCCAGAGTGGCTGTCATCTGCTCTGTTAGGATGTAACAGAGTTGAGAGGCCCTCCTGGCTTGTATTTGTCCTGAAAAGGAACCCGGCTGCCTGGCATCTAGATCAGGCGGGTGGGGCGCCCACTGAGAAGAATGAGCCTGGTGCTGGCTGAGCCACTGCTGTGCCACAGCCAGCCGGTCCATGCTTGTCACTTTGAACACCTGCAGCTAGTTACAGTCCTGGAACGACAGACCAACTCCTGGTCTGAGTTTTAAGAAATATATTAGCAATACCTTCCTCCCATGCAATGGTTCTCAACCTTCCTAATGCCGTGACCCTTTAACATAGTTCCTCATGTTTGCTGTCCCCAACCATAAAATTATTTTCTTTGTTACTTCCTAACTGTAATTTTACTACTGTTACAAATCGTAATGATCTGTGTTGTTTTGTTTTTTAATATTTTTGTTTTTTTGAAGCAGGGTTTCTCTGTGGAACCTTGGCTGTCCTGGAACTCACTTTGTAGACCAGGCTGGCCCTGGACTCAGAGATCCGCCTGCCTCTGCCTCCCAAGTGCTGGGATTAACAATCTCTGTTTTTTGGTTGGTTGGTTGGTTTTTTAAGATTTATTTATTACATGTACAGTATTCTGCCTACATGCACACCTGCAGGCCAGAAGAGGGCACCAGATCTCATTATAGATGGTTAGGAGCCACCATGTGGTTGCTGGGAATTGAACTCAGGACCTCTGGAAGAGCAGCCAGTGTTCTTAACCTCTGAGCCATCTCTCCAGCCCAATATCTGTGTTTTCTGATGGTCTCAGGCGACCCCAGGGAAGAGTCGTTGAACCCCCTCCCCCCAACAAAGGGGTCCCGATTCACTGGTTAAGAGCTACTGCACCCGTGTGTGTGTGTGTGTGTGTGTGTGTGCGTGCGTGTTTGGGCTTAGTATAATTACATTCACTCCTGAGAGAGCCTGAGAAGCTGAGCCTACATACCACAACTTTCTTTTCCTTCTCTGTCTAACCTGCTGCATTGTCTTCCCTCTTTCTTAGTGGGCCAAGACTGCTACACAAGAATCTGGAGCCTCCACGATGCCCAGCTGCTCAGAACCATCCCTTCGCCATACCCGACCTCCAAGGCCAACATTCCCAGTGTGGCCTTCTCTCCTCGGCTTGGGGGCCCCCAGGGAGCCCCAGGGCTGCTCATGGCTGTCCAGCAGGACCTTTACTGTTTCTCCTACAGCTCATTCTGTCCAGGCAATCTGGAGGAGGGCAGGTAGGAGTGGCTGGCACATTCTGTCTACCTCTAATGAGGACATTTTAAGTGGTGCTTGATGAGTTCAGATGGAGTCCTTCAGCTTCGGAGGTCACAATGCAAAGTGGCTGACGTGGGCGGCTGGAGAGATGACTCGGTGGTTAAGCTTTGGCTGCTCTTCTGGAGGACCCAGACTCGACTCCCATCACCCATATGGCAGCTCACAACCATCTCAAACTACAGTTTCTCAAACTACAGCCCTCTTCCGGCCTCTTTGATACCAGGCATATATGTGGCACAGATAGAACATGCAGGCAAAACACTCACAAATAAAAAGTGAATTTTTTTCAAAGTTTATGTGAAATAACGAGTAAAAGCGCAGTTAAATTGTGGGCTCAGAGCATGAAAGGCCTCCTACTGAGTTCCATCGCCATTTCCCTCCATTATTGTCAGAGCAGACTGGAATGAAGAACGGCTGCTCTCAAGAGGAACTGTGCGGTGGTGAGACCGCCTGAGTTGGCGCCGCAGTCCCAGGAAGCGCACCGTGTGCCCTCAAGAAAGGCAGATAGGATGCAGGCCATGGCTTTGTGTCTGAGGATTCAGGGCCAGGTCTGACGCCATTATACACAAGCAGCCTTCTCCAACAATAGCAATAGGTCCCAGATTCCTCAGTTACCTCACACAGCTATTGGGAGGGAAGATGGATCTTTGCCAGTGGCAAGGTCAAAAGAATTTGGCTTTGCCTTTTCATAATCTTGGAGCTGAGTTCTTGAAATATTTATAGTGTTAAGAAGCCTGCTAAGCAATAAAGCAAACAGCGTGTGTGATGTGTTTCTTGTTTATACTTTTGTATAAACCCCTCCTGAGGGTTTCTGTGTAGTCCTCACTATTCTGGAACTCACTCTGTAGGCTAGGCTGGCCTCTACCTGCTTCTGCCTCCAGAGTGCTGAGACTAAAGGCAGCATGCACCACCACACCCAGCCTGATGCAAATCTTGATCCCTGGGCCACTGAAACAAGTACCCAAGGATATCCCTACTTGCAATGGCAGAAAAGAGACCTGAAGACCAGCTTTAATACCTTGCTGGAGACCTTCAGGTTGCCCTCTTCTGCGAGTGCTCTGGGAGGCTGCTCTCTAGACCTCTCCTCTGTGTCCCTGGCCATCAGTGGGACACAGTAGGCATTGTCAGCAGGCAAGCAGAAGCTACAGAGCAGTGGGTGGAGTCCTCTGGCTTCCTTCCTGTTGGGACGAAGTCCGTGGCCTTTATCAGAACAATTCTCTGGGTTCCAGTGACTTTTCTATTTGTCTCAAACACATATTCCTGTTAGCCATGGTGCTCCCCAATCAAGCAATTGCCCATGAGTATTCATTCTTCTTCCTCCTAATAAAACTTGCTTAGAAAACCAAATCCTCAAAGTGAGTGAGATTGTCACATTTAGATCTCTCCTTTTATTTGATCCTTGTAACAGTTCATAAAGGAGTCAGGGAATAAATAGTAACATAGTGACCAGTGTGATCTTACTGGCCAGGATCCCTGGCCAGTGTTCAGTGTGTGCCTGATTGACAAGCACTAGGCACCACCTTTAGGTGAGAAGCTGTTGCAATACCAGTGTCCTTCCTCTTCAGAGGCCATAGCCTGAGCAAAGCCACAAAGGTGCTAGACCACAGCAGCCTGGAAATACAGGCTCTTCTAGTTGTAGAATTGTGAGGGTAGGTGTCAGGATAAAGTAGCTATTGAAAACATGGCAGCGGCCAAGATGGCTCAGCACAAAGCAATGTGTGTCCCATTAACTGCAAACCATCTGATGGCTCTTGCCACGTGCAGTGCCTAGGTCTGACAAGTACATGGGGGAATGTGACAACAGTAGCCTAACAAAGGTGGATTAAATACAGTGTCTTCTAAACAGTAGCTGAAACTAGTTCCACTAATGAGAATGCACACAGGCAGAGACTGAGTTCTCTCCGGGAAAACGATTCTAAAAAGCTAGAAATACAAAAATGGTTGCACAACTATCATTACAACACTTCCCCCCAACACCTGGAAGCCTAGCTTTGTTCCCAGCTGGAACTTGTAACACCTCTGGGCCAGTAGCTGGCCTAGGGAAGCGTCCATCGCTGCTGTCAGAGGAACCTCAGAACAATGGGAAAGGTGAGACTGCTGAGCCTTCCGGATGTTAATGGACACTGGCTTTTCAACGTTCTTCTTAAGAAAACAGTACTGGCTGACCTTATCTGGAAACAAAAGCCATGGTGCCTTGAAGGGCTTGGAGGTGACACCAGGTGGCTCTGCACTGAGTTCACATGCAGCTGTAAACCTGTGAACACAGCCACCCACCTTCCAGGTCGGTGAACATGGAGAGTTCACACGATGCCTGGCAGTGCCACGGGCTACTGAATGGCTTTCCAATTGCCAGTAAGCCAACTAGCTGAGAAGCCCCAGAAGTGTGTAAGGATTCCCCCACCCCACCCTCCAGGCCCCTACTTAGGAGACCGGTTAGCCACGACGGAGGCCTCCTGTAATCCCAGTGCTCACTGAGCAGCCATCTTCACCTGCAAGCTAGTTCTGTGCAGTTATTAAAGCCTGTATGAAGCACCTGGTGAGGAAGGTGGGGAGAAGTGACCTGTGCTGATGGTGTCCTGGGAGTTATCTGTGAGGAGAGGGATGGGTGTTCCCTGGAGGAGAGCCATGCTGTTTCTTAATCCAGGTGCTGGCTGCATTTGTGGCATCCAGCTGGAGAAAATGAACCAGGCTGACATGCTTTACAGTTGAGGATGTTTCTGCAGGTCTTAGCCTGCAGTTGGCCAGCTTTGCCCTCAGCTGAGGCTGGGATCCCGTTGGTTTGGGCTAAGAAACGAGCCCCCTTTGGAGGCTGGTGTACGTCCTCTCTTGCACTGGTTTGAACAGCATGAAAAGGAAGTTTGGCAGATTTTCCTGTGAGATTTCTAGAAGAGTCTAGAATTGGGTGGGTGGGTGGCTGTCCCCACCACATGGTTGGCAGGACTCATGTTCAAGGGCCCTAACAATACAGCACAGGGTCTTAAACACACTCCTTTAACCTCTCTTCCTCAAGCCCTCTCAAAATAAAGGTACAAGAGAAGGAGCAGGAAAAAGTAAAAGATGAAGGAAAAGGCAGGGAAAGGAAAACTGCAGATCAGTATCGGTAGCCACAGAGAACTGGGGCATGATGGATAAGGAGGTAGGAAGTAGAGGCTTGAAATGCCCAGGACATCTGAGGCCCTACGGAGGCCCAACACCACAAAGAATTTTTCTCTGCCTTCACAGACCACTGACACTCACCTGTTTCAAACATCAAAGCTGCACATTAGAAGTGTTGTCCAAACTACACCATGACACAATGGCCGAGCAGAAACCAAGCTACAACCCACCAAACTAGGCTGGCCGGCTGCATTTGGCAGGGCTGCAGCTGTCCCTAGCTCTCAAACCCCACCTCTTTGACAGGGGCTGAGGGAAGGTGACACTATGGTGAGAACTTAACCCCCTGGTCACTAGTAAGAACCCAAGGCCTCCGTTTTACCGTCTCTAAGCGAAGGAGTATCACGGCAATCCTGAAGACCTGGTCCCGCTTGGCAAACTGATCTGGGGCATGCTGGACACCTACCTGCAAAATGAGAACGAGGGCTGTAGTTCAACTGCTGGAGTGCCTGCCCAGTGGGCAGCACGGCCTGGCTTTGATCCCCACCACCATGCAAAGCAGGCATGGTGGTGCACACCTGTGATCCAAGCGCTCGGAAGGTAGAGGCAAGGATGATCAAGTTTGAGCCTGGAGTACATGAAACCACGGACAGGAGGAGCTGGGGGGAACTGCCAGCCATTATGAGGTTGGTTAAAACACAGCCCAAGTTTAGAGTGGGGACATTCTTCAAGTCCCAGCTGCTTGGGAAGCTGAGGCAGAATGATGACTTCATCTCTTGAGTTCAAGACCAGGCTACCATAGAATCAGACTGCCATCTTAGGTGTGTGTGTGTGTGTACATATACCTGGGTTTATGGACCTATAAAGGAAAAAAAGCTGGTCTGAATAATAAGCTATTTACTGTATGTAAAATATGTCCTCTCCCAGACATGCCTCTCGACTTCTGCTCTGCTAGCTCCCAGCTACGTTCCTATCAACTTGGAAAGGAGATACGAGAGCAAAAAAGAGCCAACACAGTTCCGCAGGAAGATTCCTTTATGATGGTGAATGGATGATACAGTTCTAGAGTAGGGCCTCGGAAAGGAACAGGTCTAAGAAGGACCAATCCGCTCCAGGGCTCACGTCACTGGACACACACCCCAGGAATGACTGCCCACACACTTCCCGGAGTCCCCACCCCGCCCATCAGTTCAATCAATAGTGATGTTGCTTTAGTTCTTCTTTTTTGGCCACTGAGGATAAACTCCACACTGACAGGAGCTCAGCACAACAGTCTTTCCAGTCATGATCGATATGATGTCCGAGCTCTTGCTGAGAAACATTTGTTCATTTGGTTTCTCTTGCAAGAACCAAAGATAAGTTTTCCTTATGATCTGTTGAAATATTTATATATATTTATTTATATGTATTTTAAAAAACACAACTAACAGTCCATTCTGTGCTGTTTCCCTGGAAGGTTTCTCGTGACTGCCCATCCCCCTCTAACAGACAGAGGGGCTGTATGTATAGGAACAAAGAATAAGACACTTTGAGCAAAATTCCTAGTGTGACACTCAGAAGCAGACTGGACTCCAGGGGCAGAGGGGAGGCGTTAGGCTCTGACTTGGGGGCAGGGTGTGGCCCTCTAGGAAAGCCTAGTGGTGACAGAAGCATCAAGGAGCAGATATCCTGCTAGGGGAGACCTACCTCCTTCTGGACTCCCCAACTCCAGGAGCCACAGCACCTGCATTTCGACTTTTCATGTCTCATGATTCTAACCCTCTGCCCCTCTACATACACCAGTGGCTTCCACACAAACAGGCTAGAACCACAAACCAGGATTCACCGTGGGAGAGGTTGGTGGAACCCCCTAGGCTGCTCCAAGCAAGACAAGGTTCAAACCCAGGCAGCCATGAGGGGGAAAAGGGGCAGGAAAGGATGCTGCCAAGCTCTGGGAGAAGCAGCAAAAGGTGACTGTGAACCTGGCTCGCTTCAGGAGGAAGACTGGCTCCCAATGGCACCTTGTCCCTGTGCTAGGGACACACTGAGGTACGTCTTCAAAGCAGAAGCAGTCTCGACCACTCCAAATCCCCTCTAGATGGATATACAGAGATAGAGAGAGATTTCTTATTTTTTAACTAAAGTAAATGTGATGGACTCGGGGGGGTCCATTCCGCTTTACTGAGAGCCACTCAGTCCCCTGCCCTGAGGTGGATCATGCCTTCGGGTCTACCGTCAGGCTCACCTCCACTGAGGGAAAGTGGCCCGGGGATGTCAGAGGAGAGCGCACACATCGCACACCACACCCGGTGAGGGCCTACCTCAGTGAGACTTCTGTTTCTAACCCTGAGAACCTAAGGAGTTGTGAAGGAGTCGGAGAGGGAGCTGGGGTTAAAGGTCACCGGGCTTTTTATTGCAGTTGAAGCAGACTCGGACTGGATGGTCCCAGCCGCGAGAGGGGACGGCCCTCCGGTCATGGGAGCACTCGTCACAGAAGCCCTGTCCACAGGCTCGGCAGTGGTGTTTGGAGAGCTTGACGCTGAACTCCTTGCGGCAGTTGTGGCAGTGCAGGATCTCATGGTCAGGCACCCAGTAGGCTGGCCTGGCAGCATCTTTCACCAGGCCTACACCAGGGAAGGAACGTGAACAGTCAGGACACTGGAACCCTGTCCCTGCGTCTCTCTGACACTTCATGGCTTGTCATCCCAGCTGCACACCGAACCATCACTGTGCTGAGGTTTTAGGAGACTCCTTGCTGAGGATGACCCAGCACTTCTGGTCTTCCTGCCTCCGCTTCCCTAGGACTGCGAGCAGAGCGCCACTGCATCCAGTGTGTGCGGTGGACTTCAGGAATGCTACCCAGACACTCTGCCACATGAATCGTATTGCCAGCCCTGCTGCGGGGTTGTGTGGATGTCTGAGGTAACTGTGTGGGGTCCATTTTCTTCTCCTAACCTTATCAGACAGGTTCCAGGGAGAGAACGCCGTGCCTGGCTTGCGCTGAAGGAGCCTGTCACCACTAAGCGATCTCCCCACCAAACCTGAGCTCAGTCTGCAGGTCTCACATGGTAGGAGAGAGCCAATTCCTACAAGCTGTCCTCTGATCTCCATGTGTGCGCCACGGCACATGCATGTAAGTGATCACGCTCCCTCCACAAACACAAGAGATAATTGAAAATCAAAACAAAAAGATGCCAGGCTTCAACCTTGACCACAGGGCCTGTGGCTGAGGTACTGATGAGTTTGGTTTTTTGGGGGGTGGGGTGGGGATGGAATGGGGAGTGTTTTGAGATAGGGTTTGTGTAGCTACTCAGGCCATGACACAAACATACAAAATGCTATAACAGGTTCCCGGGCATGTCTTCCCTAAGAATCCTGCTCCCCTTCCTTGAATCTAAGCAGCCTCTGCAACTACAATGAATTACAGAAGCATCTTCCTAGACTTCTTCCTCCTCAAACACTAAAGCCGTAGTTGCTGCCTTTTTGAGACAGGGTCCCACTACGTATCCCTGGCTGGCTTAAAACTTGCCATGCAAACCAGACTGGCCTCAAAGCCTGAGACCTACCTGCCTCGGTCTCCTGAGGGGTGGGCTTAAAAGCATGTGCCACCTGGTTCTATATATTAGCTTTAACATTTATTAAATATTAACACTTATTCCCTTTATGTATGTATGTGTGTTTGTGTGTCACGTGCGGGTGTGAGTGCACTCGTCTGCACACGTATGTGTATCTACATGTGCACACAAATGAAAGAGACCGAGAGCCAAGACAGTAGAAGATCGCCTAGAGCCAGAGTCATAGGTGGGTGTGAGCTGTCCAACACGGGTGCTTGAACATGAACTTAATGTCCTCTGTGATGGCAGCGAGTGCTCTTAACCACTGAGCCACTTCTCCAGCCCCAAAACATTAGCTCTTGAAACCCTGAAATACCACTGTGGTTCATCCACTACCAGAGGCATCATGCAGAGAGCCCCGAGAGAGGAAGTGGGGTGCTCCACTGAGCCTAGCGTCTACCTGTCCTCAGGTCAGCTTGGACATTCCAAGTCAGCTCAGACGCTTTCCCGAGATATTCAGACAGTAACTCCAGGGAGGACACTAGGGGAATGAGGTCTGATCGCTGGATGTACACTATTTTAGACAGAACAGCACGGACCTGCGCTGGCGGACAGCAACAGATGGTAGAAAGGCTGGCCTCCAGGAGGAAAGCAGATGCTACTGAAGGATTCCACACACAAAAGCAAATGTAATTCGTTCTTTCATTCCTTGCTCCAAACTCAATCCAGTCAGCAAGCAAGTCAAAATGACCATCCGGGGTAGCCTGAAACCCCTCCTGCTACATGCAATATATCCAAGCCAGGTACTGCCCAGGCCCACCTAGTGGTATGTCAATAGCTGTCACCACGGCTCCCAAGGTGTTCTGCACGGCCTCGCCCACCTTCCGGGCAATGAGCGTTCCTCCTTCGTCATCTGCCTGCACCTCAGTCACGTCTGTGGACAATCACAAGGGACAGCTGTTACCTAAGAGGAAGTGATCTGTGGGACCAAACAGTTCAGACCCTGAAACTGGCTTGGACATCTCTTGTCCTTTACTTCCAACTCTCTTGGACTGATCTGTAACATTTTTAAAGTCAATCTTCTTGGTTCTGGGAGCAGGACCTAGAACTTTCTAGAGACAGAGGGAGGGCCCAATCTAACCTTTAAGTCCGCCTTTCCAGAACTCATCGGCTATATGCAGATATATGTCTCTCAGAAGCAAAACTGAGCTCAGAGCTCAGGGCCAGGCCAGGTTCTCCCGCACCTCCGCCCCAAGGATCAGCAGCACAGGCCTATACTAACTAGGATCTCAGGGGAGGCCTCTCGGAAGTGATACGGTTGGGGCAGTGAGCACGTAGTGCTCGATATTCAGTGGGTGTGAAGACGGGTGACTCTCCTGCCACCCTCTCGGGCCTCTGAGCCCCACATTACCTAACTGGACATTCCTGGCATCATAGCAGTTGTCACACACACGGACGGGCGCAGGTCCCCAGCCCCGTTCAGGCACTGGGCGGGTCTTGGATGAACAGCTATCGCAGAAGCCCTCACCACAGGCCCGGCAGTGATGCTTGGTGTCGTTGTCCTTGAAGGATGTGGCACACTGGCTGCAGCTCTGTTCCAAGTCCAAAAACAAAAGAGAGAGGCAGGGGTCCTATACTCCTGCTCAACCGGGGGTAGGGAGGGGCACCCAACCCAGGGGCAACCACAGACTCCTCAAAGTGGGTTCCAGCTCGCTAGGCCCCAAGCTTTCTGGGGAAAGGAATGCTCTGAATGCAGAAAGGGGAGAGGCAGAGTGTTTCCGGTTACAGAGGTTCAGACAGAGACAAATCCCAGGTTGTGGGTACCTTAGAGGACTGTGGGCCAAGCCAAGAACAACCTCAAAAGGCTCCTTTCTCCGGACTGTGTAGCTTTAATTCCAACATCTAAGCAATATTAACTAGCTCTCACAGGTCCAGAAATACAACCCACCAAGGAGAAAAATATTTACAGGACACAAAAGAAACTCCAGAAACAAAGCAACAGCCTAAAGCTACACCCTCCAAGAGTCTAGGCGCTAACTCTAGGAGGGGAAAATGTCTGTGCCTCCCTCCTGGAACCAGCTTAGCACCAGGCAACATGGTAAAAGCAGGACGGTCTACATCATGGCTCAAGAGGACTCCTACATCATACCAGAATCTGGGAGTTGGGCCTCCAGTAGGCAGGGGCAATCTGGTCTGTTAGCCAAGAAGTCACAGCCTTAGTGGGTCCGAGGCTAAGCTCAGACACTGACTGAGCCATAAAGTTCATCCCATCCAACAGACGCTGGGCAGCATTGTTGTTGTCCTTCAGAAATGCATCGGTCTGCAATGAAAACACAAGGCCTCATCAATCCCTGAGTGTAGGGAGGAAAAGGAGAGGGCTATCTGGGAACTCAGGACTGTAAGCCAGCAGGCAGGGCAGAACAGAGACAGACTGGCAATCTACCTAGCTGACTGGCAGTATCACACGCATCAGTCAGCACCCATATTCTCATCTGGGTGACCGTGGTGCCCAATGTACAGTTAGTTGCTCAACTCACGACTAATTCTGCCCTCCAGTTCAGAAGGTGATGCATCCTACAGGGAGCCCACAGCAAGCTCAGTTAGGAATCCTTCTTCCCAGTTTCTCTAATACATGTAAAGCTCTAAGAAGCCTACTTCTATAAGTACAGGGGCTATTACATGGGCTCTGAACCCTGCTGGACTGTGGCCTCTGAGAATAGTGACCTACCCTTTTCAAGTATCAAGTTCAATCCAGACACACAGTACTTCAACAAAGTATGTTAAAATAACAAGCGAGCAGGCAGACACACAGTGCAAGGCAGCTTCAAGGACTAAGAGAACTGCAGCTGAGATGCTGTTTTCACAAGACAGAGAGTAAAGTCACTTTACTTTACTTGCTCGCTTCCCAAGGCCATGCAAAATCCTTGCAATATGTCAGCCTACACTGTCAAGGCCATCCAGTCAGGGAGGTGGGCTCCAAAAAAGATATCACACAGAAGTGTCAGAAATTTAGTGAGGAGAACGGAGGTAAGCAGAAGTCCTCAACTCTGTATGCCTGTATGATCCAAGAAAGCTCTAAGGTGGATTTGTAGCAATCCACCTGGATCTGTGGTTTGGGTCCAGACTGCCCTTTAAAGCCCATGTGTTTGTTCCCCAACTTGGCTCTGTGAAAGGATGCTAGGAACGAAAAAGATAAAACCCACTTAGTTCTAGATCATTACGGATGTGCTCCTGAAGGGGACTATGGGATGCTGGTCTCCTCTCTTTTGGTTCCTAGTCTCGAGGTCAATGGGTACCTTCCATCACACACTCTATTTTACTATAGTCCCAGGCAACACAGACAATTGGTCATAGAAACCTCCAAAAACTGTGAACCAAAATAAAAATTTCTTCTTTATAATTTGGTCATCTCAGGTATGTGTTACAGTAACAGAAAGCTGTCCAATATGACTATTGGACTGAATGGTCTACCTAAGTTTAAGTAACACAGCTACCAGAATTATACAGCAAGGGGAACAACAGTAAAATAATGCCCTCTGAGAAAAGTAGTTGGGTTGGCTTTGTTATGATTCATAAGTAATAACAAATACAAATAGTGACTTGATTTTATTCTTGTGTAGTCTTTCTTTCTCTCTCTCCCTTCCTTCCTTCCTTCCTTCCTTCCTTTCTCTTTCTTTCTTTCTTTCTTTCTTTCTTTCTTTCTTTCTTTCTTTCTTTCTTTCTTTCTTTCTTTCTTTCTCACTCTTTCTTCTTTCTTTTTCTTTTGAGACAGGGTTTCTCTGTGTAGCCTTGGCTGTCCTAGACTTACTTTGTAGACCAAGCTGGCCTCAAACTCAGAGATCCGCCTGCCTCTGGCCCTCAGAGTGCTGGGATTACAGGTATGTGCCACCGCGCCCAGCTGCAGGACCTTTCTAATGTTATCCCAAGCTGGACTTGGAACTCCTAGGCTCAAACCACCCTTCTGCTTCAGCCTCCCCAGGGGCTTAGAACAGAGCACACTATACCATGTGCTGCTGTGGGAAATTACTGATACAGAATGAAAGCACTGACTGTATCACTGTCTCCTGAACAGATCTGGTTTTCTAACACCCCTAAACTCAACAGGCAAAGTTGAGAGGCCTACAGTAACTCTACTCCTAAATGAGCCATGGGACGCACCTGTCATTTCAGCACTTGGGAAGTGAAGCCCGGAGGATCACAGGCTTGAGGCCAGCCTGGGCAATTCAGTGGGACCCCATTTCAAAGTACACCTTCCAGTTTTTAAAAGGTACTTCACTGAAATTTCCCACTGTGGAAGATGGCTCAGCAAATAAAGGTGTTACTGCCAAACCTGAGAAGATGAGCCCAATTTCTGGGACCCACAGGGTAGAAAGGGAGGACAAACCCCACAAGTTGTCCTCTGACCCCCACGTGTGCTGTAGCGTGAGCATACGTGCACATGTGTGCACACACACACACACACACACAAAATTTCCCAGAAAACATAAATAGCTTTCCCACATGCATTTTCATTAATAAGAAGCCATTATTTGAATAACTGTCTAAACAAACAGGAAAATGTTAAGTCAAACTACAGCACTGAGTCAAATGAACTATCATGAGAAAAGGCAGGATAAATGGCATGTACACGCCTATAGTCTCAGCTATCTAGAAGACTCAAGCAGGATGTTCACTTGAGTCAGGGAGCTCAATGCCAGCCGGAGCATCGCAGTAATGCCACATCTCTGCAAAAATAAATGAACAGTAAGTATATCTACAAAAATATGGACATGTGCATATGGAAAGTGAGTAGGAACATACAAGATGAGGTCTTATTTGCTTGAGATGACAGACTAAGTTTCAGCTACTTCACGCAAGTTCGTGTTCCTATTATTCATATGATGGAGAAATAAGGAAGGAGGGCTGGAACGAAATGGGCTCTACGGATCGTCTTTCTAAGCCACTAGTGTGGTGAAATCCAGGGCTGACTTTTCTACGGTAAGCAAGCTCTGCCTCTCCAGACACAAAACACGCAATAACTGAACAGGGCAAGAGACAGGGGACCCGACAAGCGGCTCTTACTCCAGGCCATGCGTGTACAATCTCGGTCCGAACCACTGTATCCACAGGATCTTGGTTCCCAAACCAATACTGCCGGCTCCTATAGACCACGCCGCAGTTAGGACATTCGATCACGTACCTACGAGGAGGCAAGTCAACAGTCAGCGCTTACTCTGCCAGGTGCTAAGAAGACAAACACCAGCACCTCTCTGGCCGCATTAGTCAAACTCACCCGGACCAGGCGTACTTCGCTAGACCCATCCAGGGAGAGTCAGTGGAAGCAGATGTTTTGGGCACCACACTGACTTCCTTGCCTCTCTCGTAGCAGGCCTGAAACATGGATCACTCTGCCAGTTTAGTCCAGGTCCCACTGGGGCCCCATGACCTCCTCACATCCCCACCCCACAGATCATACCAGCTTGAGCTTAAGCCCCTCAGGAGTTTAGTTTCCCTGCAGAAGCCAGTGCTAGTCTGGGACCCAAAGCTATGCTCTAAATTACATGCCTGTCACAGCAGAGGACATCCCCACCTAAAGTGGTTTCCTGAGAAGCAGCTCCGCTAAAGTGAAGCGAATGGATGACCCTTAGCCCTGAGCTCGACAGGAGGGAAGAACAAGCTGAAGCAGCAGAGAAGAGGCCCCAGAATGAGGGGTGAGCGCTGCTGGCTCAGCACTTTCTCATTCTGACCATCGCAGGGTTTCTAGGATTTTCCCTGTTGGGGGGTAAGGAGCAGCTCAGCGGACTCACCTTACAGGTGTAAACTCGGTTGTCATACTGGTGTGAGTACCTACAGCGGGTCTTGGCCTCGTGAGGCACCCCTTCCTTGGCATGGTTCATGCTGTTCTTACACCCTGCCCTGAAAGAAGCCAAACACAACAGTGAGACAGCTGAGACGACAGCGGCACTCCCACAGGAGTGTCAGGACAGTCGCTGGGCCACACCAGACCTGGGGTCCCAAGCACACAGGGGGTGTTCACCTGGAAGCCCCTCTGCCACACCGGCAGTGGGCTCACAACAGACAGCAAGCAACTATTGCCCTGAATGGAGAAATGGGGAAAACAAAATCAGCCTGGCTCCTCAGGAGAAATGGAAGAGCTGGAAGACACCAACTTGACTAGAGATGAATGCTGAGCAGGTGTTAAGAAGTTAAGACTAGAAAAGAGGTGAGCCTGAGATGCGGTTAGTTTAAATGAGAAGGGTCCCAACGTGGTCATGTGTCTGAATGCTTGCTCCCCAGTTGGGAAGGACTGGGAGACCATTTTGGAGGTGGTCTTTGAGTTTTAAAAGCCCACACCATTCCCACCCCTCCCTCTCTATCTCTGTCTGTCTGCCCCTCTCAGTCTCTGTCTCTCTCTCTTTGCCTAAAGCATGTGTCTCAAGATGTAAGTTTTCAGCTAATGCTCCAGGGCCCCGCCTACCTGCCTGCTACCACCTTCCCCATCATGATGGTCACTGACTCTGAACCTCTGGAGCTGTGAGCCCCCAAAGGAAATGCTTTCTTTTATAAGTTGTCTTGGCCGTGGTGTCTCTTCACAGCAACAGAAGAACAACTAAGACAGGAAAGTTAAACCACATGGTTGCCAAAAGGTAAAAACGAAAAGCAAGCCCCCAAATTTGGCAATGTACCCAGGGGAAGCTGAGTGCTGAACACTTTCAAATGAACAGTGAGCTCTGACAGGCTGACAAGGCAGAAACAGACCAGCACTCTAGGGTTTCACTGTGGTAACAGAAAATTCTAGAAACCCTGCAGAATGAAAGGTGATGACCCAACAGTGCTTACTCCTGTCATGCCAGACCGAAACAGAGCAAAAAGAAGTATGGGTCACTGGCAACTAATACCTCTTGTCTCTTCACAAGCGGAAGTCCCCCAAAACGTCCCTTCCCTCTACTATAAAACTGAGAACCTTTTCACGCAAGCCAGAAACAGTTCTGTTGAGCCATGACCAACAGCCATTCATAGCAATGTGAGTTCAGGTCTCCTCCTGTAAACGAACAAGAGTGGAGGACAGAATAGATGGCGCCCTGAAATAAGTAAAACAATTCGGAGGTAACGAGAACTTGGAGATGTGTCCACAGGACAAGGACACAGCAACCTGGCCTTGGCACACTGTGGTTAGACTCACGGGATCCATCAGGCAAGTGAGAAGACTGTGATTTAACTGCCCTCCACAGCTTAACGTGATACAGTGATCCTCAAGGTAAGGGGTGTCACCCCACCCAGGCACTATGAAAACCACCAACTCATAGGTTCTTTGCAGATCTACTAAATGTGAAATGGGGCTAACCAATCCGCTTAGCACTGAGTTCCTCTGATTCAGGCTAAATTAAACTTGTGAGTCACTGCTGTAACTCTGTGGCCTGTGGAGTTCACAGAACAACAACACAGCATCACCCTGAAACTTTTTCAAGACACAGAAAGCCTCAGGCCCCATCCAGACCTACTGATTCGGAGCCTGGATTTTAACGACTAAAGGTGCTATAGGTTAAAGATGGAGAATTATTCTAAGCCAAGGCTCTCAGCTTAAGGCACACTTCCAAATACCCTGAGGAGCCTTGTAAATACAGCACCGCCAAGGACACAGCCCAAATCCATCCAGGGAAAATCCCTGGATGTGGGGCCTTGGCCTCAATTCTGAGTGTTCCTTAGAAAATTCTACTGTGTTCTCAAGGTTTGTCCTTATAAAGAAAAATAAGCCCATAGAGTCAAAGTCTATCACAGAGCTCTGCACACACTGGAGAATGAGGGTGGGAACGCTCAAGTACGAGATGAACAAGTACAATAGTATGAAACAAACAACAACGGAAATCAGTGGTCGAAGAAACAGAAGAGCAGGCAACCCAGTCGCCTGCATGAAAAGTGCCCGCACCAGAAGCCAATCAGCAACTCAGATCTGTACCGGTCTTCCTCACCTGTATTCCTAAAGCCCTTACTGTCCCCAGAGGGTGGTCTCTCAGCCAGCAGGGTCACCTGGCACTTGTCAGCAAGGCATCCTCAGTCCTTACCTCTGGGAATCACTTTCTTAATTTCAAATTCACACACCCAGATGTTGCATGAGCAGAGGTCAGAGGACAGCTCTGTTTTCATCTTGTGGATCCCAGAATCAAACTCAGGTCATCAGGCTTAGCAACCCCTGCTCGCTGAGCCACCTTGCTGGCCCAAGTCCTGTCAGATTCTATAACATAACTAGCAATCTGGTGACCGGTCCGTCCACAGGCCTACGTCAGAAGCCACACTTTCAGCCGCTGGTTCCAGGATGGAGGATGGGCCTAGCTGCTCTCACTTACCCACAGCTGAGGCAGATCGAGGAGCAGGTGAAGTACTCATCTGGAAAAAATGAACTGTGCGCCATCTGGTCATCAGGGATTTCACCGCTGAAGCGGTCGCTCAGTGCCTGCCAAGGAGGGAAGATGATCTGTGAAGGCCCTCAGGGAGCCTGGCTCCAGCTCCCCCTTGCCTGCCTTTCTAAGATGGCCTGCTCGCCCCTAGATTTCTTGCAAATACCACAATGGCGGAGGGAGCCACGCACGTAAAATCTTTACTCTTCTCCCTGACCCAACCTGCACCAACTCTCAACACAGAACACCTTGGAGAAAGCAGCTCATTGCCCGAGAGGTCAAAAGTAAAGTTACTCTTCTCCCTTAATTGCCTTAGAAAGCACAAGCTCCTCCCACACATGCAGCATTTTATTCAACACCATCACAGATATTGACTGAGGCTCATTTCCTCTGGGAAAGAACTCACACTCAAGGGTAGGAGCCAAGAAGCAAGCTGGGAGTATCTAGGCTTCCCTCCCCTTTCTAACCACTGGCTCCCCCGTGAATGTGACTAGTCCACAGAACTATCTCAACATTCAAAAGAATGAAAAAAAAAAATTCCCCAGTCATTTATCAAGTCTATTAACCTAAAAGTCCGCAGACGGCCAAAGCAAACACTGAAATGAAAGGCGAAGTGCTTGCGAAGCAGAGCATCTTGTGTGGAGAGTGCTTCCATATCAAATCCAGATTCAACTACTTTGTAGCTGAAGGATTCCTCAGCCTAATGACACAAATAATAACGGGCTTCCAGGGCTTTGGACGCTCAGGTGCCTCCTGATGGAGTTACTAACTTCAGCATTCCAAGTCTGAGGCAGCCACACACTATGCAGGGGAAAAAAAGGAAACTAGCTGTAAACAAAAGCATACGGTGTTATTCCTTCAGTGAAAGAAGGGGGGAGGGGTGTTGGGACGAGAGCCTGAGGGCAGATAAAGGGGACTTTGGTGGAGGCGGCCTTTCTGAGACAGGCTCTCGTGTAGCCAGGGCTGTCCTTGAACTGAGACTCCTGCCTCCATCTTCCTAGTCCTGGGATTACATGTATATTATACTATACCCAGCTCCAGGTGAAGTATTAAACTTTGACTGATTAGCTATTTATTGGGTTTTTGTTTTGTTTTGTTTTTTTCCTGGCTAGTCTGGAACTAGCTATAGTAAACCACAGTGGTCTCACACTCAGAGATCTACTGGCCTCTGAGGGGGGTGCCACTATGCCCAGCTTTTTTTTTTTATTATTATTATTCCTTTAAATTATTTATTTATTTATTTATTTTATGTAGATGAATGCTCTATCTGCACATACAGCTGCATGCTAGAAGAGGGCATAGGATCACATTATAGATGGTTGTAAGCCACCACGTGGTTGCTGGGAACTGAACTCAGGACCTCTGGAGAGCAGACAGTGGTCTTAAATGCTGAGCCATCCCTCCAGCCCCTATGGCCACCTTTCAAACTTTTTAAAGAGTCTCACTTAATGAGAGCTTATTTAAGGATCCTCAGCTGAACTGTAAATTAGGGAGAGAGCACTTGCTGAGGATGCATAATCTGATTGGCCTGCTCTTTGATCACTTCCCCCTGGGGGGGGAGCAGCCTTACCAGGCCACAGTAGAGGACAATGCAGCCACTTTTGATGAGAACTGATAGACTAAGATCAGAAAGAAGGAGAGGAGGACCTCCCCTATCAGTGGACTTGGGGAGTGGCATGCATGCAGAAAGGGGAGGGAGGGTGGGATTGGCAGGGGAGGAGGGAGGGGCTTATGGGGGGATACAAAATGAATAAAGTGTAATTAATAAAAAATAAATAAAAGATTTAAAAAAAAAAAAAGACCTAAATAAATTCTACCCCAGCACTGCAGAAGACTAAAATAGGTTTCTCTTCTTTTCCATAAAGCCCTAAGCTGAGGTGAAAGCTGTAGGGCCTACAGTAGTATGTGGTACCTGCGCTGAGTGACATCAGCTAGGACCCGACTGGTGAGAACTCACACAAAGGTTCAAATTCAGATCCAGGAAGGACAGCAGGGAGATGGCAACCAAGTGGCAATTTTTGAGTCAGGCTAACAAAGACTTCACAAATACTATCATCTCTATCTGCTTGGGGATTTAGCAAAAGCACAAAGACCTGAAACTGAAATTTTAACTCTTGCGGCTGTGTACTGTCAGGTTTTGTGTGTCAACCTGACTCAAGTTAGCGTCATTGGAGAAGGAGCTTCAATTGAGAAAAGGCTTCCATGAGACTCAGCTGTTACGCATTTTCTTAACTGGAGATTGGTGGGGGAGGGCTCAGCCCACTGTGAGTGGTGCCAGCCCTGGGCTGGTGGTCCTGCGTTCTGTAAGAAAGCAGGCTGAGCAAGCCCCGTGAAGCCAGCCAGTAAGCAGCACCCCTCCATGGCCTCTGCATCAGCTCCTGCCTCCAGGTTCCTGCCCTGTTTGAGTTCCTGTCCTGACTTCCTCCAATGATGGACCACAATCTGGAAGTGTAAGCCAAATAAACCCTTTTCTCCCCAACCTGCTTTTTGGTCATGGTGTTTCATCACAGCAACAGAAACCCTAAGACAGGCTGAGCTGGGCATAATTCTGAGGAAAATGGTGGAAAAGCAGGTCATCATCTTCCTATTAAACCTCCAAAAGATTTGGGAAGTTTATGTATTTTAAAAACCACCAAAGATACAGGGTGAAAGTGTGATGGCTCATCTTGCTTGTCAGCTTAACCACACCTGGAATTAACTAACCCCTAGCAGCTGGACACACCCGTGAGGGATTCTCCTCGGTGGGATCACCTGAATCAGAAGATCCTGTAACTTTGGGACACACCTGGTGGAGCCCATATAAGCAACAAGGGCGAAGGAAACTTGCTCTCACTCTCACTGGCAAGTGCATCTATGCTGCCCCTGAGGGATCACTTCACTGGTGTCAGAACCTACTTCTTTGGGATTCCAATGTGGACTGAAAACTGGCAGCTCTCTAGGGTTTCCCTGGGACTCCAGTGCCACTCTGGGGCTGCTGAGACGTCCAGTTTTATGAAAAAATACAGGATCTCTGGCCTATCCCTCAGGAGACAGCTATTGTTGGACTACGTGGAATACTGCCTGGGAGCCACTCGTGTGTGCGTGTGTGTGTGCACATACGTATGTTCACTCTGTCAGGTCTGTTCCTTTAAACAGCCCGGATACAAAAGTTCATGGAAATTTTGCATTAAGCGCAAGGCCCATAAAGTCATTCCAGTGTATAGCTGACAGCTCTGCACTGTCATGCCTGTACCACTTTCTTCACTAGAGCTCACAACGAACACTGAGCATCGAAGGAGCCCGCCCATGTGAGATGTGTGGCTCCTCGGCTGCTGCTGCTAACAGTGCGTTAGCGGTTCTGATGCTGGGACTGTGTTCCTTTCTTCCTAAGGCATTCTCACTGCCTAGACCAGACAGTGCACAGGACCGAAGAACCTTTCTCAGCTGCGCTTACGACACCTGAGAGGCGCAGGCAGGGGCTATGAAGTCAAGGTCATCCTTGTCTACGTGGTGAGTGTGAGGCCAGCCTGAGCTAACGAGAGCCCGACTTAAACAAAACAATGGAAAAGAGCCTCTGTCGTTACTGGTCTTTCTGGCTGCTGGCACCTGCAGGTGAACACTTAGCACCTGCAAGAAAACGTTTATCTAATAAAGTGCCGCAGAAAGAAGTGAAGGAACATGGTGTCTCCTATAGGCGACATGGGAGAGAGCAAGGAATAGTATAGCCTTGGAGGTTTTACAACAGATAGCCCAAAAGCTAACTTAAATACTTGCCTTCTTTTTGTCCTAAGACAGTCTCATGTAGCCCAAGCTGGCCTCAAATTCACTACATGGCCAAGGCTGACCTGCACCCCTTAATCCTCCCATTCCACCTCCCAAGGCCCAGCACAGAGGATGCCACTATACTCTGGCAGTCGTTCTGGGCTGAACTCGGAGGAGGGACTTGTCGCCCTGTAACAATGATGGAACACTTTATCATCCCAAGCAGCTTTGTTCACTACTCTCGAAGTTCTCTAGAGAAATGGGGGCATTTTCCACTTCTGGTAGCACACACCTTTAATCCCATCATTCCTAAGGAAGAGGCAAGTAGATCTCTGAGTTCCAGGCCAGCCAGGGCAACATAGTGAAAGAGACCCTGTCTCAAAACAACAGAAATGATCATTTTAAAATATCTCTGAGCTTTCCATGAAACAAGCTGTAGCAAACCCCATGGTACTCGGGCCCTTAGACCTGCAGCCTTCTCTGACCCAGACTAACTGCTGCCTTGTACTGTCAAAGGCAACAGTAACCTCTTATGACATCAGAGAGAGAACTCTTACACAAACCAGCCCAACCCCTCGGAGAACCAGCATGCCACTCTTCCCCAAGTCACGGACTGACAATAGTATATCCGGCCCTGACAGGCTTCAGGACAACTTAGAAACATCAAGCATATGGGAAGAGAATAGTAACTATTAAAAAAAAAAAAAAAAAAAAAAAAAAAAAAAAAAAAAAAAAAAAAAAACAAAGGTACCATATTTTAGACATGGATGGGGAAAACCGTCCTCCTTCCACTGTAATTTTTCTCTAGTATAGACATAACCTCCTACCTACTGGCTCACAGCTCAAAATTCCCAAGCCCAGGCCTGGTGATGTACAGGTATGAGGTCCTAGGTCCACTCCCTAGCACTTAAAAAAAAAAAAAAAATTCCAAACCTCACATCATTCCATGGTTCTCGGTCTCTCTTCTTCCTCAGGTCTCAAACTACAAAGGAAAGGCAAGGAAGGGTGTCTCTTGAGAGTGCCTGCGAAAGTATTTGAGGCAAAATTGGAGACCTCGTTGCCTGGAAACCAGATGATCTTGAACTTTAGTTGCCTTGGCAACAGTAGGGTCCTTTCTATTGTACCTTTAAGGTTAGCACAGTTATCAGGAGCTATCAGTGGAAGGCCTGGTTCCAAATGTATTTTCTCCAATCAATGTTGCTACCCTCCAGCAATGACTTCACGAATATTTAACTAGATGCTTCCTAATGTGATGGAACTGGAAAGTCAGAGTTTCTACATTTAAGGATCCGAGGCTAAAGAAGGTATCACATGA